TCAACAAAAATACATGTGTTTTCTGCTGTTAACCGTGTGTTGGCAATTTGAGAGAAAATACTAGAATGTGGACTGAAAATTATAAATTAGACTTCAGTGCAAGGAATATGTAAGACGATTTGTGGCAGGAAAGGCTTGTGAGTAATTTAGTTGTCAGGCTGGGTTTTAGGCGTCTGTGGATTAAATCAAAGAGGATGTGCAGAGATTTTATCGAGAGCAGTGAGGTGACTTTGGCAGCTAACAGGCCACTAGTATCTTCCACTGAAGCTTTTGTCTGGATAGGAGCAACATTGCATGTTTGCAGTCTTGCAGGTAAGAGACCTTGCCAATTAATCCTCAGTTACCAGAAGATGTATCCCATAACTGCCTAGCTTGCCTGTCAGTTTTTAATAGGTAAAATATAAATCTGGGTAATCTAACTCAAATGGCTTAGTTTTATTGTAACTCAAATTATATGGGGGAATTTTATGAGTTTGAAACAGCAGGTTTTGCTTTGAGAAGCCGTTTCTTAAGTATGGAATAATGGTTGTGAGAAAGATTGAGTATAATTGGGTATTTGCCCTGGTCCTAATCAGCAGCATTTGGACACAGGAAGCCAGCCGTTTTTGTAAGGGCCATTTCCCATCATTAAGTTTTCAAGTGCTTTTTTAGGGTTTGTCTAGTAAAAAGCATTCTTTTGAAAAGCATAGTAGGAGTATGGGTTGTGGCATTCAGTAGTACATTTTAAAAAGCTAATGGACATACTGGTTTTTAAAATAATATTTAGGACAAATTCCTTAGGAGTCAGTCACACTAATGCATCTTCTGAGCCAAGAACTGGCCATCCTTTCTGGTTTACTGAGTCTAGAATTGCATGTGGTGGGGTGCTTACTTATTTGCAGTCTGAATCAAGAATTCTCACTCTCAAGATAGCAGAAATAGATCAGTTTCAACTGACAAATGTAGAGAAGTCATGGAAAGGAAGGCAAGTCTTGCCAGGCATTAGCATCTTTCAGGACTAAGGAAACGAAAGAGGAAAACTTGATTTTATTGCATGTTAAGTCTACTGAATACCTCTTTGAATGTCAGATTCTGTATCTGTAAAACAATGGTGTTGCATTTGATGATCTCTAAGATCCCCTTCTGCCTTCAGTTTTAAAGTTTGTTAGGGAAAGAGGTTTAAGTCAGGATACTAGGCCAGGGTGGAAAAGAAGGGAGGGAAACGCATCTGGAATTCAGCTGCCTCCCACCTCAGGACTGAAGTCCCAGCTGCCTGCCGGCCATTGCCTTTAGGGAGGTACCAGTCTTTTACTTCCGGGTCTTGGCCCCTCCTTGTTCTACCCCTTCCCAACAACAACTGAACATATCGAGTGCTGGCTATGGCCCAAGCACTGTTGCAGGTGAAGCATGAACAAAATAAGCAACGTCTCTGCTCCTCAGGCCCCCTGCAGACCTTCCACCTGCGGGAGACACACTGAGTGAACCAATGGATAAGAAAACTGGGAAAATGAGGACAATAAGTTGCAACTGTTTTCTTATCTACCTGGAGGGAGGGAAAATCATTTTCTGGAAGTTTCTTTCTATGAGTTTTGTCTTAGCGTTGGTTGCCATAATAAAATACCATAAACAGTGGCTTAAACAACAGAAATGTATTTTCTCATAGAGTTCTGGAGGCTGGAAGTTGAAGATCCAGGTGCCAGCATGGTTGGGTTCTTGTGAGGGTTCTCTTCCTGGCTTTCGGATGGCCGCATTCTCACTGTGCCCTCACTTGGCAGGGAGAGAGAGAATACACGCGCTCCGATGGCTCTTACACAGACACTAATGACATCCTGAGGGCGCTACCCTCATGACCTTAGCTAAACCTGGTTATCTCCCAAAGGCCCCATCTTCAAATACCCTCAGCACTGGGGATTAGAGTTTCAACATATGAATTGGGGGTGGGGAGGCAACATTCAGTCCACAGTAACTTTGTCACAGAAACCTGAAGATGACAGGCAAACACAATTTTTAGAATTTATGTAAGTTGCAGATTACTGTAATTACTGTTTTTGCCTCTGTGGCTGAGAAACTTTGGGTCAAAATGAGCTTTTTAGAATATATGAATTCATTATCTAGGTAGCCCTGAAGTTGGCTCTGGATTTATTAGAAGCTATTTTAACCATTGCATTCACTCAAGAAACCACTGCCTATCTATGAAGCATAGTCCATCTGTAAAGCTTCCTCCCAAGAAATTCATCTTAGAAATTTGCAGTCTTTAGTGCATGCCCCCAGCTGCCGAATGGGTAGGCCTATCTCAGCACAATCATCTGGGCATTGACTGTGGTCCACCTTATGGTGTGTAAACAACAGGCAGCTTGTTTAATCTGCACTGCCTTGTCAAGGACGTGTGATCTGTGAGATGCTAGTGGGGAATCAACTGTAAGAGTCAGCCTGAGTGTCAGCCTCATCTGTCCGCTCTGACTTTTGTCAGCTGTCTGGCAGGCACTCCATCTCCCACTTCAATTTCTTACCCTGGAAGTGCTCCCTGCCAGGAAGGAAGGTGAGTCATATATGCAACTGTGATGCTTAATGATTCAAGAGACGCAAAAACGCAGAACAGAGGAAAATGCATGGTTTAATCTGACTCAATTGCAAGTGGGCAGGGTGGGTGGTGGGAGGTAAGTCAAAAAGCATAACGATGTCAAGCTTTGGTAGGACCTAGCAAACTAGAAGACTTCAGGACGACTGGAAAGGAATGTGTATGTACAGGAAAGTTGTCTAAAATGCTGCAACAGCTTTCTGTGTTGCTCTTCTCACTACCTTAGAATTTAGAGACAAAATAATCATATTTTCTTCTTTTAGATAGCCTTCCTGGCTTCAATTCACAATCTGTCTAGGTTCTAGACAGTGGTTCTCAATCCTATCAGATTCAATACTCTAGTCTTTAACAACTAATTTGAAATATTCCTTTTACAACAAAACTCGTAGTTTATTATTTATTGTCCTACTGTAAGAATGTTGTTGGTCCCTGCCCACGCTCCTTGGTCCTTACCATTTTGGCACACGCTGGGCCCACTCCGTCAGCCCCTCCACTTGCTACCTGAAGGTATGCATGTTGCATGCTGGAAGAGCCAGAAATAGTTCTCTCTGGGAAGAGGTCTCAACCTGTTGGCTCTCAACAGGGGCCACCGGAGTGAAGCTGTTTATACACCAATGTTGCTATTGGTGTATAAAAACCCTCCTGTTGCCATTGGTGCATAAATACCCTCACTCCCTTGGCCTGTGTTCCCCCATGGGATTAAGCTCCATTTGTCCACTGTGGCTTACTTCTTGATAGCAACCTATTACTGGCTTTTTCCCCTTCCCTGCCTCAGTACCCTACTCTGCATTGTGTATTAAACCTGTGCAAAAGTGTCTTGTGTTTATATGTAAAGAAAAGTTGGTGTCTAGATTCAGATAACTAAAGGTTTGTTTGATTTTCAGTGACATGAAAGTTCAGTGGGACATTTGAAAGTTATACAGGGTATGTGACAATTCATTGTTTAGGGCAACTTCTGGGAAACTTTGCTTAAAGAGCAGTAGGCATGTTTCCTTTGCCCATGTTTTCTTAATCCCTATCCTGCTGGCTGAAATGTAGATGTGATGGCTGGAGCTGCAGCTGCCATCTTGGAGCATGTAGACGAGAACCATACTACACCCTAGGGTGGCACAGCAGTGAGTCGGAAGGAACCTATTCCCTGAGGACTTCAGGGAGTAAGCCTGCCCCATTAGCCCCAGATTCTATCTGTCTCTGAACTTTCACACGACTAAGATATAAACTACTCTGCTAAGCCAAAATTACCTTGAGTTTCTACTTCTTGAAACTAAATCTACCTAAAGCAATATCAAAAATAAACATTAAGCATTTCAAACTAGTTTTTAATGAAATGACTCATGTTTGAGTTAGAGAAAGAGGATAAAGAACACAACTAGATAATTTTGGGATAAATGACAGGCTGGTAAAATGGGAGAAGAGAAGGCAATCATTTTTCTTTCATGTCATCTTACATACCAGTTTTTAAAGACTGAGATTAAACCTGATAGAGTTAAGAAAATTGTGTAGGCCAGGTGCCATGGCTCACACCTATAATCCCAGCACTCAGAGAAGCCAAGGTGGGAAGACTGAGCCCAGAAGTTGGAGACCAGCCTGAGCAACATGGTGAGATCCTATCTACAAAAGGTTTAAAATTACCCAGTGTGGTGGCACATGCCTGTGGTCCTAGATACTTGGGTGGCTGACATAGGAGGATCGTTTGAACCTAGGGTGGAGGGTGCATGATCACGAGTCATGCTCATGCCACTTCACTCCAGCCTGAGCAACAGCGTGAGGAGACCCTGTCTCAAAAAAAAGGAAAAAGAAACTGTCTAGAATCAAGACCGATTATGGGACTGAGCCAGGAAAGCACTCTAGGAAGGAAAACAAGAACAAACACAGATCATTACAGTGTTGTCTCTAAATTCTAAGACTGTGCCTTGGTAATAACCCATAATTCTTGCAATTATGACCAGACCAGCTAGTTCTAGGAAGAACTATAAGGTGAGATGAGAAGAAATGGGGCACCTGAGTGGAGCTGGTCCATGGAAGATTCTTCTCGGTTCTAATGACGGGTAAAGTCAACTGGGTAAAGAGGTAAAAGATAAATAAACAGTATTTGTCATTTATTTTTTAAAAAGTGGGTGGGGGTGGTTTCCAGAAAATCAATTCTTCTCAAAAGGCTAAAAAAAACATTTAAAACATGGAGTTGGGGGAGCATTTTCTGCAGTAGTAGTTTTCTCTGTCACACCACTGGTAATGGTTAAGAGTAGGCGCCGCAAGGGAAGACCGTGTTTCATTGGACGTGTATCCCAGTGTGGAGCACAGGGCCTGGCTTGCTCAGGAAATGCTGTTGAAAATGTATTCCAGCGTGCTGTGAGCAGGTGGCCAGTGTGGCTGAGTGAGCTGTGTGCCATTTATTGACCCACTTCCTAGTCCTGAATTCCTTTTGGAAGCTCCAGCAGGGAGGATGATACAGTCAGATAAAGGAGCAGATCCACCAGACAAGAAGGACATGAAGCTTTCTACCTGCCACCAATCCGCAGAATGGTATGTGCCACCAGGATTCCTTTTCTAGACCAGAAAATAACAGCACCTCTGACATGTGATCAAATGAATAGGCAGAAATTCTGACAGATTTACTGTGAATCCTATAAGGATCTGTACACTTTTGGTTGCATGACTGCCCTGCCAGTGATAACTTTTAAGAGCAAAGTTGAAGGCAGGAAGGAAATAAATTGACATGGTGGATTCAAAAACTTTTTTTCCTTTACCCAACAATATTTTATATAAAACTTAGAATTTCTTAAGTTGTTCACATTTAAAATATCACTCTAACACTATGAAAATACTGTAAAAAAATAGAATATTTACTGAAATCTGTTTAGACCCTTTAATCAGGAGAATACTGAGATTTGCATTAAAGATCTATTGGGAGTTAACATTTTTCAGTATCACTCCTAATAAGAATTTTTTGAAAGGAAGAAATGACTCTTACGTTTGAGTTAGAGAAAGAGGATACAGAACATAACTAGATAATTTGGGGATAAACGACAGGCTGGTAAGATGGGGGAGGGGAAAGCAATCATTTTCCTTTCATGACATCTTACATCTGCACGTCGTGATCCATTATTTTACCTAATATTCAGAATGACACTATGACAAAGCTAGCACCTTCTCATCTTGGGCAAAGAAACTGGATAATTGGATAGTTATGTGACTTTGTGATGTTCACAAAGAGATGGAACAGGGCTTAAAGCCAGATCTTTTGGCCTGAAATCCAGTGTCATTTCCACTCCTCGTGAGAGCCCAGAGCGTGCCTTTCCGAGCTGCCTTTCACAGTTACACCCACACCTGCCACCCCATCTCTGCTCTCTCTTCCTTTCCTAGGCCTCTCCCAGATCCTGAGGCTTGTGCTGCAAGAGCTGAGTCTGTTCTACAGCCGGGACGTGAATGGAGTATGTCTCTTGTATGATCTCCTCCACTCGCCGTGGCTGCAGGCTCTGCTAAAGGTGAGTGCTGCTTTGCTTGGAAGCCTTTGCTTGCTGAAGGGGTTGTGGGGAGTCTATAGAAAACCACTGCCTTAGTCCGTTCAGGCTGGATAGCTGAATAGCTTATAAACAACAGAAATTGATATCTCACAGTTCAGGAGGCCAGAAAGTGCAAAATCAAGTCGCCAGCAGATTCAGTGTCTGTTGAGGGCTCCCTCTCTGGTTCATAAATGGTAACTGTGTTCTCACATAGTGGCAGGGAATAGCCAGCTCTCTGAGGTTTCTTGTACAGGGCATTAATTCCATATTCATGAGGGCAGAGACCTGATGACCTGTCACCTCCCAAAGACTTTACCTTTTTTTTTTTTTTTTTTTTTTTTTTTAAAGACACTATCTCACTCTGTTGCCAAGGCTGGATGGAGTACGCTGGCCTGATCTTGAGGGAAGGTGTTCTTTTTCCGGGTCCACGAGGGGGCGTAGTTTTAAGGGCAAAAATTTCCCAGCGCCGTACCCCCTCCCATCTCTCTCCATCTGGGAGATTTAACGGTTTATGTTTGCGGGAAGAAACTAAGAGTCAATCACCCCAGCGGAAGTTTAAAGGAACTCCTTTCATTGGCCAGAGGAACTTGGGAAGGTGGGAATTTCTCCTAGGATGAATTCTCCTGCTCCTTCACCCACTCCGGATTTCCAGCTCTGTGGAATCCCCTCCCACATGGTGAGAGCTCCCTTTCTGCTCTAGGATTTCCCTCCTGGAATCCCCTTCCACACTCTTCGTGGAAGTCTTCTCCTTTTCCTTCTCTTTCCTCTACCTAAATAAAATCACCTTTCTGCAACACTTCTTGGGTCCGATATTTACTTTTAGGAGCATGCGGTGCACCTGCAGTGGTCCCCCCACTTATTCTTTAAGAGATTGGAGCCCAAAAACCCACAGCATTCTCTCAGGGAAGCCACTGCAACCTCCGCCTCCTGGGTTCAAGCGATTCTGCTGAATAGCTGGGATTACAGGAACATGCCACCGCGTCCGGCTAATTTTTGTTTTGTTTTATTATTATTATTATTATTATTATTATTATTTTTGGAGATGGCATCTTACTTTGTAACCCAGGCTGGAGTGCAGTGGTCCATCTCAGCTCACCACAACCTCCGCCTCCCAGGTTAAAGCCAATTCTCCTGCCTCAGCCTCTTGAGTAGCTGGGATTACCGGTGTGTGCCACCACACCCAGCTGATTTTTGTATTTTTAGTAGAGACAGGGTTTCACCATGTTGGTCAGGCTGGTCTCGAACTCCTGACCTCGTGATCCACCCGCCTCTATTAAAAATACAAAAAAATTTTGCCCCTATAAAAAATACAAAAAAATTAGCCAGATGCAGTGGCATGTACTTGTAATCCCAGCTACTCGGAAGGCTGGGGCACAAGAATCACTTGAACCTGGGAGATAGAGGTTGCAGTGAGATGAGATTGAGCCACTGAACTCCAGCCTGGGCATCAGAGAGATGCTCCATCTCAAAATAAATAAATAAAATAGAGTAAATAAAGTTTATTATTTTTAATTTGGCTAAAATTCCATGCACTATACAATAGCATCTAGTAGATACTAGAAAAATAGCATCCACTATCTAGTAGATGCCACTACTATAATTTTGTTGTTCTGAACAAATATTATTAAGGAAGATGCTTTTGAAATTATTTTTTGGGGGGATGTGGGTATGTCCTTCACTTACGTGTGAAATGTGGTCTGTCTTGTAATGCGTGTTAATATTATACAATAAAAGTGGCAACATCTTTGGCATGAAAAAGTAGTACTCACAGCACTTGTTTTAAAACACCTGATTTCTATCAGGCATTGTCCCACAGGATCAGCTAAGATAGAAGTTTTCATTTCATGGTGGGCATTGCCCTTGCTCACCACTGCTAGGCCTTTGGTGAGTCATCCAATCAGCCTTGATCACTTCCAGGTAAACCTGAGTGTTGGCCCTGAGATAGAGCAGGGAAGCAGCATCATCATAGATCTGGACAGAAAAGGCTGGGGCCTGAGCTGGCCCCTTGGGCTTTATTTCTTCATCTGTAAGATAAACTCAATTCCTAAAATAAGATCAAGGGCTGCAATGCAGAGCTAGGCAGGCTTTGGTGTTCTCAACCCAACCCTGAATCTTGATATGGAAAAAAAAATTCCCAAGGGTCTGCAGAGATGAAGTTAGTGTTAAAAAATGAACTTGGGCCGGGCGCAGTGGCTCACGCCTGTAATCCCAGCACTTTGGGAGGCCGAGGCGGACGGATCACGAGGTCAAGAGATCGAGACCATCTGGGCCAACATGGTGAAACCCCGTCTCTACTAAAAATACAAAAAAAAAATTAGCTGGGCATGGTAGCGCACGCCTGTAGTCCCAGCTACTCGGGAGGCTGAGGCAGGAGAATTGCCTGAACCCAGGAGGCGGAGGTTGCGGTGAGCCGAGATTGTGCCACTGCGCTCCAGCCTAGCACCTGGTGACGGAGTAAGACTCTGTCTCAAAAAAAAAAAAAAAAGAACTTGTACTGGAGAATTAGGAGATGAATGGAAAACAGCCCCAAAGAGCAAAGCAGAATACAGAAAAGCATATGTAGCATGCCCACCTTTTATTCAGAACCTCCAGTGGCCCTGAGCCACGCAGCTCACGTGCTGTGCAGGTGACCAACACAGGGGTCCTCACAGGTGTCTGGTCCCCAAGGGCCCCTCCTTTAAAATGCCCCTTTACGCATCATCTACACATCCCCATTGGATTCCGTCCCAGAGAGCCTACCCTCATTCTATTTAACAAGAATAAAAGTTTGAATTTCTTTTTATTACTGAAATGCTTGAGGAAGATCAATTCCCCAGTGGCACCCAATAATTAAGACGTTGAAGTACAAGGCCACCAAATTCAAGTTCATTTCTCTTTGGCAACTAGACACACAGCTTATTAAACACCAACACATGCCATGCTGTTCAGCTATTGGTGCAGTGGCCTGGGCTGTTTCTTCCCTTTGAGAGTCTTAAATCCAAAATGGTAATAGTCATATTATCAATGTCAATTTCCTCTCCATTGTCCTTCTGCAGATTTATGACTGCCTTCAGGAATTTAAAGAAAAGAAACTAGTTCCTGCCACACCCCATGCACAGGCATTATCCTATGAGGTAAGGAGATTTTATTCCACAGCCCAGTAGAGCTCTGGTGTAGTGCCATTTTACCTGCATTGCTAGTTCAAATGAATGAAAGTCTCTAAGGAAAAGTTGTATTGATGATTATGCACCTAATAAATGTTTTTAATTGAACTTTATTATAAGGAGGAACATTGGCTGGATATCTCCCCAAGTTGAAACACTCCCTGACTGGCACCTACATAATTTTTACCACGTGTCCATTTCTTTTTTGTTTCCTAAACCTTGTACTCTATTTGGCCTACATAAACAGGGTGATGTTATAGTAATAATTCTCAGATTTATATCTCGATCCTGGAGATTTCCCCAAATTCCAGTCTCAAATATCCAACTGCCTCTTCTCCATCTTACTTGGGTGTCTAATGGACTCCTCCAAGTTCACATGTTCTAAACTGAGCTTCTGAGCTTCCCCACCTGCCAGTCACCCCCACCCATTCTTCTGGCAGCCTTTTCTATCTCAGAAATGAAGCCTCTGTTTTTGCAGTGCTCAGCTCAGAATCTTTGAAGTCATTTTGACTCTCTTTCTCTGATACCTCATACCCAATCAGACAGCAAATCCTCTCAGCTCTACTTTCAAAATATATCCAGGATCTTACAACCCCATATCATCATCATCATCTCTTACATAGATAACTGCAAAATAGCCTCCTACCTGGTCTCCTGTGTTCACTCTTGCTCCTGTGTAGTCTACTCTCAATTTGGCAACCAAAGATATCCCCTTTGAAAGCAAGTCAGATCAAGTCACTTCTTCACTAACACTCAAACCCTTCAAATGACTTCCTGTCTCAGAGTAAACACCGAAGTTCTCTCTCTCTCTCTCTCTCTTTTTTTTTTTTTTTGAGACCTAGTCTTACTCTGTTGCCCAGGCTGATATGTAGTGGCATGATCTCAGCTCACTGCAACCTCTGCCTCCTGGGCTCAAGCAATTCTCATGCCTCAGCCTCCTCAGTAGCTGGGACTATGGGAACCCATTACACTTGGCTAACTTTTGTATTTGGGGTAGAGACGGGATTTCACCATATTGGCCAAGCTGGTCTCGAACTCCTGACCCTAAGCCATCCACCTGCCTTGGCCTCCCAAAGTGCTGGGATTACAGGCATGAGCCACACTACACCTGTGTTCTTACATAGCTGAACACAATCAAGCTGTGTAACTTCACACTCAGTGTTTTCCCCACTCACTCTGCTCCAGCCACATTGACCCCTTGTTGTTTAAATTCATCAGGCCAGGTGCGGTGGCTCACGCCTATAATCCCAGCACTTTGGGAACCTGAGGCAGGCAAATCACTTGAGCCCAGCAGTTTAAGACCAGCCTGGCCAACATAGCAAAACCCCATCTCTACTAAAAATACACACACAATGAAAGAATTAGCTGGGTATGGTGGTGCGTGCCTGTAATCCCAGAGGCTAAGGCATGAGAATCACTGAACCCAGGAGGTGGAGGTGGCAGTGAGCTAAGATCACATCACTGCATTCCAGTTCGGGTGACAGAGATTCTGTCTCACACACACAAAAAACAAAAAACAAACCAACAACAACAACAAAAACAAGCTTCTGCCTGCGGAATTTCCCTGTGTCAGCACTGCTCCTGCCCAGGTATCCACATGATGTGTCCCTCATCCCCTTCCTGTCTCCACTCAAATGCCACCTTCTCAGTGAGGCTTTTCCTGGTCACCTATCAAAAATCGTGCCCCTCCTAGCATTCCCTAGGCACCTTTCCTGGTTTATTTTTCTTAACACTTGTCACCATCAAACAAAACGATTTTACTCACGTATTTCATTTGTTGTCTGTGTTCCCTCCCTAGAACGTAAACTCCATGAGAATGGAGATTTTTGTCTACCTGTTTACTGCTGTTTTCACATCACCTAAAACAGTGCCCAGCACACAGTAGCGTTCAATAAATATTTGTTGAATGAATGAATAAATATAATCCATTTTATTATTTATTGCCCAAACCACATTAGGAGAAGTAGCAAAAGAGAAAGAAAGAACTCTGCTCTCCATTCCAGTAATCAACAACTCAAATTGTTCTCAGTCATCCACAGGAAAAGCACATGCATAATATTTTATTCAGTTGTAATCCTACTGAGTGGAGACAAAGCTTTGTAAACTGCTTGTTTTCCTTTGACTGTATGTAAGAGGGCTGACTGAAGTCTTTAAAGGTCTTATGTTCTCTGAAAGCAGATCTACCACTGAAACCACAGCAGAGAGATCAGAATTATTTTCTGCCTAGCACTTTTTATTATAACAAGCATTAAAATTGCTGATCAACTGATAATCTGAAAGAGAAATTATTATTCCCATTTTCTGTTTGAAGAATGGAACATCCCATGGGATTAAGCTATCTGAGTTCCCCAGGTACGTTCCTAGAGAAACTCATATAGCTTCGCAAGCCTGCAGAGCATTGACATCAGCAAACAGCTATTATGTTTTAAGAGGCACAGGAGGAAAAGTGCCTTGGTTCACATGCTATTACAAAATTGGTACATCCTCCATGCTTATGTGCCAGGATGGGGCATTGGGCTTAGATACATCTCAGATCTTGAATTCTATTTGCTGTGGTAAAGTAGCAATTTTAATGAATAAAGAAGGATTGTAGGTTCTGGCTTTAAAGATGAAAAACAAGGCTCTAATAAAAATAGCTTTTTAAAGGTAAATATAATATTAGTCAGTATATATGTTATCGAGCCTGGGTGAGGTTAAGTAGGTGACAAAGATTTTTTCTTTTTAATTTTATAATGTATGCTTTTTCCATGAACCAGGTAGTGGAGTTGTTACGTGAAACTCCTACTTCCCCTGAGATCCAAGAGCTGAGACAAGCACTCCAGGCTCCACACTTTAAGGCAAGTTCCTGCTAAGATAGACAAGATGTCCGCATCTGGCACATAGACAAAGCTGGGAAGGAGAAATGTATGTGATGGAAAATGTTCTCTCTGAATAGTTGTTCTGTTACTGTACATGAGTGACCAACAGATTATACTTAAATATGTGGGACTCAGACGTGACTAGCTCAGTGTTGTCAATCATGCAGCCAAGCCTGCTGTGTTTAGGAGGAGGCATCCAGAACTTTCCATGGTCCCTTGTTTCCTCTACAAAGCTATTGCTCATCTAAAAATCTTGGGTAGCAAACAGGGAACGTTCTAGTTATAGAGGAATAGCTCCATGCTTCCTTTCCAAAGTCGGATTATTTTAAGTTTTAGATAATGTGTGTGAAGGTATTTGGAATACACAGTATAATGATGATTATCTGTGTGAGAGGGTCTATGAAGAACATTTGATTGTGGAACAGAAACCTATCTCTTGGTACTTACAGATTTGAGACCAGTTTATCAATAAATTAGAACTTTAAGAGAATGTCTGCATTTGGAGTGCTGAAATTTAGCAGTCAAAAATTATAGTTCACAACGTAACCATCAGTCATCAAATATCCTCAACAGCACACACTACTTAGAGAATTTTCTGCATGCCAGCTAAATTCCAGCTCAGTCAGGGCTGCCGAAGGACTGCTTCCCCATCCCATGGAATGAAAAACTTAACCCAGTGGGCTAGTCAGAGAAACTCTTTGATCATATCCTAAACTTCTCATTGTGTACCACATGAGCCTTTGGGTGTTACTGACAAATTAAGTCAACAAGATATTTTGATTACTGCCCTTCATGCTACCTTAATTAGGGAGACTATTACAAAAGTTATTTTATAGTTCAAACTCCATAGGAGCACCACAGATTACATGGGCTGCTAGGAAATAAGAATGTCATGGTATAATACATTTTAGCAGAAATGAAAGAGTGTATTGTGCATGGCTTTACCTCTCTGTACCTTATTTCCTTATCTACAAATTGAGGACAATTAGTGTACCTGCCTCATAGAATTATTGTGAAGATTGAATTCATTCCTGTAAAATGCTTTGCACTGTGTCTGGCATGGCTCTATTGGTGTTTGTTGTGGTTGTATGTCTTAGATAGTATTGAGTCACTATCTTCTAGAGGGGTATGGCTCATGTGTGACATTTGCTCACCTTTTCTTTCCCTGTGCCCAGGCCTTGCTCAGCGCCCATGACACGATAGCTCAGAAAGATTTTGAACCTCTTCTCCCTCCACTGCCAGACAATATCCCTGAGAGTGAGGAAGCAATGAGGATTGTTTGTTTGGTAAAAAATCAACAGCCCCTGGTAAGGAAATCACTTTGTATCTTTCTATTTAGGATATGCCTAGGTTAACTGTGAACCAAACTATATCTATGGTTACTTGGGCACATACAATGAAAATAACAGCTTTAAACTCTGCAAGTTTTGCCTGTGGTGTCAAATATGTTACATGTCATAGTGTTTTTGTTAAGGAAAGATATCTGCCATTTTTCTTTTGTGAAAAGCAAGGTGAGATTTATAAGACATTTTTGTGAGCAATAAGACATATCTGTTTGATTTTAATATTTGGCTTTCCGACCTATGCATGTATTTCACTCAATTCCAATGCATTTGCCTGTTTCCTCCTATGTTAATGAGAAGCTAAGGAAGGCATTCATTTGATTTTCTAAGAATAGTTCCTTTAATTAGGTTTTAATCGAGGGAGGTTTCTGTATCTTTGGAAGAATCTATTATTTTATGTCTACATAGTTGGAATGACACCACAGGATGCCAAAGTTGAATGGCCTTTACTTTCTGATGGCGTGCATAGCTGACAGGCCACAGGGCACTATGTGGCCCCTCTGTTCCTGGTTGGCATGAATAGCATTGTTTGAAAGATCAGAGCTGCACTGATTGAGGGATTTTTCAAGCCACCTGAAAAATGGTCATATTAGGTAACAGAGGGATCTCATCTATTCTCTCTTCAGGGAGCCACCATCAAGCGACATGAGATGACAGGAGACATCTTGGTGGCCAGGGTCATCCATGGTGGGCTGGCAGAGAGGAGTGGTAAGCTGGAGCAGTAGGGATCAAGTGCTACCAGAAAAACAGGAAACCCTTTACTGTTCAGGCTTTTTTCCAGAGAAACCCCTCTTTCTTAACTTGGGTCAGGGCTTTAGTAAGTTCAATTGCTTGGATAAAGCAGGAAAGAAAGAAGGAAACAAATATTCCAGAGAAATGTTACTCCTCCCCACTGAGTCCTTCCCATTCTAAGTACCACATTAAAGTCTCTCAGTTTACATTCTCAAGGCAGCCTCAAAGGTAAGTGTTATCATGCCATTTTATAGGTGAGGAAACTGAGGCTCAAAGAGATGATGAAACTAACTTGCTCAAAGTTATACTGTTTGAGTCAGAATTCAAGTCCAGATCTGCCTGGCTCTATTTCCAACTTTTTCTCTGCACTTTGTCCTACTTTCAGAAGGGCATAGCTCTTTCCCATCTTGAAATGCCTTTTACTCACACTTTCTGCCAGTTAACCAGATTTTTATCCTTTCACTGCTGTCCTTTTTTAAACTTTTTTTTTTTTTTTTTGAGACAGGGTCTCAGTCTGTCACTCAGCCTGGAGTGCGGTGGTATAATCATGACTCACCGCAGCCTCAACTGCCTGGGCTCAAGCGATCCTTCCACCTCAGCCCCCTAGAAGCTGGGACCACTGGTGCACATTACCATGCCCAGCCAAATTTTCTGTTTTTTTTTGTTGTTGAGATAGGGTCTTGCTATGTTGCCCAGGCTGGTCTCAACCTCCTGGGCTCAAGCAGTCCTCCTGCCTTGGCCTCCCAGAGTGTTGGGATCACAGGCGTGAGCCACCACACCTGGCTACTGTTGTGCTTCTGAAATGCGTGGTTCTAACCTGCTGTACATTCTCACTACCCCAAACCCCTAAACCTGGCACATGCTTTGTACCTCAGCATTCTCATTGTAAATACCAAGGATTTCATAGTTGCTAAGTCCACTGGCCCTTTCTTCCTTCTTAGGGTTTTTTTTTTTTTGAGACAGAGTCTCACTCTGTCACCTAGGCTCATTGCAACCTCCACCTCCTGGGTTCAAGCAATTTCCTTGTTTCAGTCTCCCAAGTAGCTGGGATTACAGGCATGTACCACCACCCCCACGCTATTTTTTTTTTTTTTTGTATTTTTAGTAGAGTCGGGGTTTTGTCACGTTGGCCAGGCTGGTCTCCAACTTCTGGCCTCAAGTGATCCACTCACCTCAGCCTCCCAACGTGCTAGGATTACAGGCATGAGCCACCACACCTGGCCCCTTCTCAGTTTTATTTCTACTTCTTGACCACATCTGATGCTATTGATTCCTTTCTTGAATTCTTTATCATCCTTGGTTTCTGTTCCACGACGTCATCCTGCTACTTCTCTCAACCATCTGACAACTCCACTGTTTTCACTGTTTGACCTCACATTTCTCAAGTCTTAGCTTAAACCTCAAGTTTCTCCACATTTTCTCTTTTGAGGAACACCCACACCGTTTCCTTTTTATCTGTCCTTTACTGACTCTGACATCTTTGTTTTTAGTGATATTTTCTTACCAGTGTTCTGGTTCTACTTTATAACATCAGGTTAGCAAAAATAAAAATATTTCCATAAGTCAATGCCAACTATTGGTGACGAGGTAGAAAAATGGACTGCTCACACATTTCTGGTGGTGGTGTAAGTTGGGATAACCAGTTTTATTTTATATTATTATCTTATATTAAATTAAACATTTTAGAGCATGCTTCGGTTAGGGAGTTTGTTAAATAGCTATTGGGGTAGCTGCTGCTATTTTTATCCGACTTCTTTGTATCTTTCTTTCTTTCGTGTTACTGTCTGCCTAGGGTTGCTCTATGCTGGAGACAAACTGGTAGAAGTGAACGGAGTTTCAGTTGAGGGACTGGACCCTGAACAAGTGATCCATATTCTGGTAAATCTTTTTGCCTTTTTGGTCATGTCTTGGTGAAATGCCAAGGCTGAACTGGGCCCATCAAGCCCACGTGTGCCCACTGGGATGTGCCAGGGACTCGAGTTCTCTTGGCAGCTTCCTCCCTCCAGGCTCCCAGACCTTGTCTGTCACCCCTGTTGCTTGCTGATCTCCCCCCTCTACTTCGAGAAGTTCTGGTCCTGGCTGGGAAACTTCCTGTCCCAAGCTGCTCCTTCCTCCTTCAGCCTCGGGAAGACTGCCAGGGCCCCCAGCCCAGCTCCCTCATCACCTGGGTTGCTCCATTGGAAACTGAGCCTGGGGTGGACAGAGTGAGTCTTTATAGGAGAGTCTGAACCTGAGCAAACCATTCCTTCCCCCACAAACACTTCTACAGCTGAAATGTTTAACATCTTCCTCGAGGGCAGCTTTGGGGGAAGAAAGGAGTCACCAGACAGCAGCATATAGGGATGGGAACATCCTTGGTGGCCCTGCCACTGTTCCTTGTGGTTGGACCTAAGGATTGATAACCTGATCAATGAGCATTTGCTCTCTCTCAGGTTCCTATTCCTGCCCTTCAAGCCATTCCCTGAATGGCGGTTCAGCTGTTAATAACCATAGCAGCATGCCCCTCCCGCCTCCCCCATGCACAGCCCAGGTGTGGGGCCTGTGTTGATCACTGTATGGTATCATGCATAGACCAGTGGTTCTCAAGCTGGGTCCCTGCTAGGATTTCATAGCAGTGACTTAGAGACTGAGGTGAGGAGTGGTGCTGTGAGACCAGCACCTAAATACGTCGTGAGCCACTGCCGCAAGATTCTGTGTGGTATAGAAGGTACTGCAAAGGAAGCTTGAAGTACTAGAAATCACACGTATGCATGGCTTCTCCCACCTGGTACCAGCTGTGATGTTGCCGGGACAGTGGGATTATGAAATTCCTGAGTACAAACAGGGTCTTAATCTCTAGATGTTTAATGCCTGTCACAGTGCATGTAACAGGGGAATTCTTCCTTTCCCCAGTCTGAGAGCTCCCTATTTCCACCATTAGTTTGGAAGGTTGTCAGTTCTCCCAGAAAACCTAGGAGCCTCTTCTTCCCATCAGACTGGGGTATCTGGTGTAGAAACAGGCATTCAGGAAATGCTTACTGAGCAAGGGTATAAGGAGGGAAAGTCAGACAGAGATCCTCTCTCCCCAGGGACTGTGTGAAGAAAACCTTGCTGGATGGGGTGTTTCTGTTAGCAGTGTGGCAGTGGTGGTGGTGGAGGGGTGGTCCCTGGAAGAGGCCACCTCAGTCACAAAGCGGACCCATGGCTTTTAGCAGACCAGTGACCCCAGAGCCTCACAGCAGGGCAGACGCAGGGTAAATTACTTCCTAATTTCCATTTCTGGGTGGTGACAGCCGTAGAGCCCTTTGAAAGGGCTCTTGGGTGATGTCACCATTAGGCCTGGACACATTCCACTGTAACTCTGTCTACCGAGCCCCAGTAACCGTGATAGCTCCATGATCCTTCATGCTTTCTCCTCTCTCATTTTCCAGGCCATGTCTCGAGGCACCATCATGTTCAAGGTGGTTCCAGTCTCTGACCCTCCTGTGAATAGCCAGAAGATGGTAAGAATTTGCCGAGCCTTCAGTCTCACACACGGTAAATCCCCCAAGTAACAGCAACTAAATATGATGCATCATAATCCTGTCCTTTGTACTTTGTTGGATGTGGATTCAAGACTGTGTTGGATATTTTTCAATAGTGATGACCTGAAAAGCAAAAATGAGTAAATGAGTACAGTACAAGAAGATGGGATACTGCTTATAACAGAATATCATTAAATTGGGGAAAGAAAGAAGGAAAGACGATGGGATACTAAGAAGTAAAGAAGCAACATCAAAAATGGTGAAAATTTGAGCCTAAACTTCAATAGGCTAAGAGATTCTGTTCCCAAAGATACCTTTTGTCATGGTACTTAGGCTCAGGAGGCAAGTTCTCTTTTTTGGTGAGGGTGGAGAGGAAAGTTAGGAGTAGCAGGTGGAGGAGTGGGAGAAATGGTTTTCAGTCATGATAGCCCATGTGCAAGGGTTCTTCTGATAGTGCCATTATGCACCTGCCATCAGGTGTATGTTCGTGCCATGACTGAGTACTGGCCCCAGGAGGATCCCGACATCCCCTGCATGGACGCTGGATTGCCTTTCCAGAAGGGGGACATCCTCCAGATTGTGGACCAGAATGACGCCCTCTGGTGGCAGGCCCGAAAAATCTCAGACCCTGCCACCTGTGCTGGGCTTGTCCCTTCTAACCACCTTCTGAAGAGGTAAGGAACATCATCACTCCTGGACTCAGCGCTGAACCATCAGGAAACAAAATGTTTTTCTCAGGCTTCTGTTATCACAGTTAAGATGAGATCAAGAGAGACAAGCAGATGAATGAGCACACACACACACACACCGGTTTATAAATCCAAATGTCAACTTATTGATAAAACCCTAAGCATCTTAAATACCAAGGAGATGAGAATAATCGTATCAGCTAGAAAATAGGGAAAAGTCTTAGGAAACAAAATTGAACTAAAAAAGTGCTATGGCCTGAATGTTTCTGTCCCCTCCAAAATTCATATGTTGAAACCTAATCCCAGATGCAATCGTATTAAGAGCTGGGCCTTTAAGAGGTGATTAGGTCATGAGCGCTGCCCTCATGAAGGGGATTAGTGGCCTTATAAAGGAGGCCTGGGGGAGCTTATTTGCCCCTTCCACCATGTGAGGACACAGCTAACAGGCGCCATCTATGAGGCACAGAGTGGGCCCTCACCAGACACTGAATCCACTGGCTCCTCGATCTTGGACTTCCCTGCATCCAGAACTAAGAACAAATACATTTCTGTCATTTATAAGTGATCCAGTTTATGGTACTTCATTATAGCAACCAGCACAGGCCAGGACAAAAAAGGATTCATCTTTCAAGGCTGAGTTGAGACCCCAATTACTAAATTTCAACCCACCACCCTCACCTTATGCGGCTGAGGGTTGACAAGATACCAAGGGAGGGTATGCACATAGAAAGAAGCAGTCCTAGGTGCAGCCACTGTTAAGAGATCAAGAAGAAAAAATGGAACGAGTAAAGGATATTGGGAGGGAAGGACCAATGAGGCAGGATGAAAATCAAGACTGTATGGGACCCTCATTAGCTATATTACCTTCTGCTGAGAAGGCTGAGAATTGACCATTGGATTTAGCAGTATGGCAGTCATTAGTGATCTTAATAAAAGCCATTTCAGTGGAGGAATGGGGCCAAACTCCTTATCAGAGTGGGATTTGAAGAAATGGATGACAATGAGTGTGGGAAACTCTTTGAGATATTTTGGGATAAAGCAGAGCAGAACAATGGAGAAACAGCTACAGGGGAGTGTGGAGTGGTGTGAGTGAAATGTTTAGATGGCGTAGTAATCCGCCGAGAGGGAACATTTTGATGATACAGGAGAAAGAGAAGAGAATTGCTGTTGTCGAAGTCTTTGAGCAGGCGGAAGGAGATAAGCTTTAGTGTTCAAGGAGAGGGCTTGGCCTAATCTAGGCATAAGCAGCTCATCTGTAGAAATGGTACTAGAGGGAAGGCCGAGTATAGGGCACAGCTGAGGATGGAGCATATGTCGGGCACTTGTGGAAGCTCTCTCCTGTTATTTTCTCAGTGAAATGAGAAGCCAGAAGCAGAGAGCAGGGTGGGGAAGGAGACATTGGGAAAGAGAGTAGAAAGCCTGAAAATTTTCCTTGAGAGTTGGAAAGCAAACAGATTAGGTAAAATATAGCATGGTCAGCATTAAGTTCCCTCTTAAGTTAAAGGTCATACATTTGAAGTGCTTCTGGGGTTCGGGTCCAGATTAGACAGAGGGTTGTATTTAACAGCAAATCAAGAGGGGGCCAAGGGAGAGATTATAGGATGGAGTGTGACAGGTAAGCTGCTTAGGAGGGAGATGAGGAAATGAAGCAGGTGAGGATTGGTGAGAAGGAAGTAAGATCAATGGATCGCAGGTCTTTATGAGGTCAACAGCGCATTGGGGCTGGGAAGATGGGAGGTGTTGGTAGAAGAAAGGGATGCTGGAAGTTAAAATGAAGGAGAAATTGCTGGTATCGGTACTGATGAGGTCTGGGGTATGACAGTGGGAGGCAGTGGCTGAGGCTGAATGAGGGAAAGGTCATTGGAAAAGAGGAGATCAAGCACCAAAGAGGCCAGGGTGCTGGAAGGGACATTTGTATGTGTGATAAAGTCATTGAGAACTGTGACAGCACACTGTTGAGACCTGGGAGCGAGCAGGCGTGAGCTGGCGATGGCTACCAGAAAAGTAGTGGGATAATGTTCAAAGCTGGGGCTCCTATAGAAGAGGAAGAATCATCTGGAAATGAGAATGAGAAGCAGGGACACATCCCCCACCTCCAGGCCCGGTGGAAGGAAGGCACATCCACACAGTGATGTGCTGGAGCCATCTGACATGAGCCACCTCTTCACACATCCACATTCAGCGAAGTCAGGGTGGTAGCTTGAAATCAGCCACGGTGAGAGCATCAACACTGCAGAAATCAGCAGAGGCTCCGAGTCAGGGCTCCCTTCCCCCAGAGCTCTTTCACCAGCACTCCAGTGGGAGTGGGAGAGGGAACATCCCCTCCTCTTGAAGGTCGCGGGGGAAGCAGACCGCAGGGAGAGTTGGGCTTCAGTTAGAGCAAGAAGAAAGGCTCAAAGAAGAGGCTGAAGTCTGAGAAAGTTTGGTGAAGATTTGCTGTGAGTTCCAGACGGCATGGGTGGGTGGCAGGGGTCTTACAGGTATTAAAGCACAGGAATAAGAGGTGACCTGAGCTAGGGGGCTGAAGGACATAAACAGGGAAAAAGGGCTAATGAGATTAGTACCCATGGTTTCAGGTCAGAAAGGGGTGAGGAGGGTCCAGTAGGGGTCTTGCAAGGAGCACACAGAACCCAATTTTGGGTTTATTGGGGTAGCACACAAATAAAGGATGATAGGAAGTTCTCATGCTGCTTTGAGTCGTTGCCACATGAAAACCTAATACGAAAATAAGAAATTAAACAATTTTGTTTAGAAGCAATATGTCAATAGCAGAGTCTACACAAATGTCTTGTTGGGGATAGAATGATGGAAGGCACCTCGGGTTCTCCTGAATCTCGTTCAGAAAACCAGGAGGCTCATCGGAGGACTGGAAGAGGCTGTTGAGACTAAACCTACTGCCACATCTGCACAAGAGGCCTGTCCCCAGTACAGGCGGATGTGGCTTTTGAGAAGTCAGTTTTTTAGAGCCTCAATAAATGAGGTCCTTGATATCTACAATTTTTCTGTCTTCCCACCTCTCCAACTTTACTGTGAGTAACAATGAGCTAGGTATTTTTACAAATATGGATTCCTGGGCTCTGCTCTTCCCTCCCTGAGGATCTGATTCAATAGACATGGACTGAGCCAGGAATCTGCATCTTCACCAAGCACCTCAGGTGCTCAGAGGAAGTGATACGAAGAGCCGCATTGTGCTTAGGAAGAGTGAATGAGCACATAAAATACTTTCTGAGCTCTTTATAAGAGTGACAGATTTGAATGCAAGTAGCTGGGGGGTTTTGATTTTGTTTTGCTTGTTTGTCTTTACTTTCAACAGGTAGAAAATTACATCTGATTTTAGAAGACTGAGAAAGAGTGAGGAGGAAGGCTTCTCCAAAAAGGGCATATTGGTGGAAAATAATACCCATCTAAAGGAGTTTGGATGACTATATTATAAATGGGGAGAGTTAGATGTTGTTGGTTTGTACCAGAGTAGCAAATATTTTTGGCAAGTGGACATGACTTTCCAGTGAGAGGCCCCATTCCTCTGGAGTTTCCTCCAGAGGGAACACATAAAGACTTATAGGATATCATTCTAGAAGAATAAAAAACCAGGACCTCCCAGAGGAGAAAGGCAAAGATGAAGCCTTGTGAGGAAGCTGATAGAGAATGAGAGACACAGAGACAGATAGAGAGCAGACTACTGACTACTGGATAAATTAACGATGGAGTAGCCAAGGGAAGGTACAGAAGGTTGAAAAACAGGAAACATAGATATTTAGAGAGCTCATCACCTAACTAGGCATCAAGAATCTTGGTTTCAGGCCTGCATGTGCTGTGAATTAAAGCACTTTAATTATGCAGAACATATTTCTGGAAGAATGCACAAGGAACTGCGTGGGAAGGGAAGAAGACTTACATTTTTTTTTTTTTTTTTTTTTTTTTGAGATGGAATCTTGCTCTGTCGCCAGGCTGGAGTCCTGGATCTCAGCTCACTGCAACCTCTGCCTCTCGGGTTCAAGTGATTCCCCTGCCTCAGCCTCTTGAGTAGTTGGAACTATAGGTGTGCACCACCACGCCCAGATAATTTGTTGTATTTTAGTAGAGACGGGGTTTCGCCATGTTGGCCAGGATGGTCTCGATCTCCTGACCTCAGGTGATCCGCTGTCTCGGCCTCCCAACGTGCTGGGATTACAAGCGTGAGCCACACTTGGCCTACATTTTTATGCTGTGAAGATTTTTGCTATGTGTATATGTTATCTCTTTATATAATTAATGAATCTGAATGCCCTGCATATCCATGCTAATTGAGTTTACAGTAAGGTTTCACTATATCATTTAGTCCCCACAATCCCACAAATGCACTGAGCCCCATTTCATAAGTGGGGAACTAAATTTCAGATGTTAGGAGATTTGTCCAAGATCCTAAGGAGGGGAAGCTTGCCTGGAATCCAGGTCTTTTGATTCCCAGTCCATCACTTTGTAGATTACAGCGTAGATGCCTCCTGCTGCTAACTGTTCAACCTCCATCACATTGCTTGACTACCCTTGATCGTTTTTCTCATTTCTAAAGTGAGGAAGGTGGACTAAATTGGCCACTTTTAAACTGCCTTGTGAATTAGAATCACATGGAGAGTTTGATTTAAACATGCCCTGGCCTTATCTCCAGAGAGTTGGAGGCAGGAGATCTCAGAGGCCCAGATATCTGCATTTTAACAAAACCTCAGATGCATTCCAAAGTTTGAGAGATTAAATTAGAGCTTCTCACCTTTGACATAGATATGACTTATCTGGGCTCTTATTAAAATAGAGATTCTAATTTGGAAGCTTTGTGGTGGAGACTGAGATTTGCAGTTCTCACAAGTTCCCAGGTGAAGGTGATGCTGCAGTTCTGGGAATACAAAGAATGGAGCATCTTCAAGGTCTTCTCTTGCTCCAAACAGTGTTGAATAAAGAAGAAGAAAGAGAAACTTTGCTTAGAAAGTTGCTTTGAAGTAGGCAAGGCAAGAAAAATCTGCCCAAAGGAATTGCTGGGGGACCCAAGGGAAGACAAAGAAGTCAACAGAGGTCTTGGGTGCCAAGAAAAGGGGAAGCCTTGCCCTGGAGCCCAGGGGTGATTCTAGAAATCAAGAAAGGAACAGAGTCATCTAAAGAAACTGTAGAGAGCCTCTAACAGTCTGAGAGAGAAACCTGAACATTTCATGAGAATTTGAAGGAGACTGCAGAGACAGGCTAACATGCTTGAGAGGCAGCTTACTATGGGTCATTTACTGAAACTCCATGTGCAAATTTGTGAACATGGGCAAGATTCTCACTCTTGGTCTTTGTTGTTCTGAAAAGATCCTGTGAGGCAGAAAAAGAGATGAGAGAGGCTATATGTTTGGAAAATGTATTTGACAATGTATTTGGAGAAGTGATTACCCTTTTCACTTGGGTGAAGGCACCAGAATTCTAACATTCTGTTTGTGGTTGTCCTGGGACCTTTTCACCTGGGTTAACTGGGGTTGGCTTTTTGTATTTTGTTTTTTGTCTCACAGTTTTTATTTTTCCCCATAGGAAGCAACGGGAATTCTGGTGGTCTCAGCCATACCAGCCTCACACCTGCCTCAAATCAACCCTATGTGAGTATTGCAACTGCCCAACATGTTTTTCCTGTTTGCTGCACAAATAAAGACCATGGCATTGCAGTAAAGAAAGGGTCCAATTGATGTGAGGCTGAGCATGCCACATGAAAGATAGAGTTGTTATTCAAATCAATCTCCTTGAAGGCCCCTAGGTTAGGGGTTTTTAAATGGTAGTTTGGGAGAGGGAGCAGAGGTGGCCATGCAATGAGTGCTTGCTGCTGATTGGTTGGATCAGAGATGAAATCATAGGGAGTTGAAGCTGTCCTCTTGCACTGAGTTGCTTCTGGATGGAGTCACAGGAACTATTAGTTGGTGGGTCCAGATGGAGTCACAGGTGTCAGACATGAAAAAACCTAAAAAGATGTCACAAAAGGCCAATTTTAGGTTCTACAATAGTGATGTTATTTGCAGAAATTATTAGGGAAATTGCATATCTTATGACAGTCTATACTTTAGCAGAATTCAGGCTCCTCTCCTCCCACTAACCTGGTAGTCTCTCATTAGCTTTATAAAGGCTGCTGAGTTTAAGTGGCTGCCAGTATTTTATTTATTTATTTATTTTTATTTATTTTTTTATTTTTTTATTTTATTTTTTTTTTGAGATGGAGTTTCGCTCTTGTTACCCAGGCTGGAGTGCAATGGCACGATCTCGGCTCACCGCAACCTCCGCCTCCTGGGTTCAGGCAATTCTCCTGCCTCAGCCTCCTGAGTAGCTGAGATTACAGGCACGCGCCACCATGCCCAGCTAATTTTTTGTATTTTAAGTAGAGACGGGGTTTCACCGTGTTGACCAGGATGGTCTTGATCTCCTGACCTCGTGATCCACCCGCCTCAGCCTCCCAAAGTGCTGGGATTACAGGCTTGAGCCACCGCGCCCGGCTCGGCTGCCAGTATTTTATTGATGATTTTCACATCATTGTTCATCAGGAATACTGGCCTGAAATTTTCTTTTTTTGTTGCATCTCTGCCAGAATTTGTTATCAGGATGATGCTGGTCTCATAACACGACTTAGGGAGGAGTCCCTCTTTTTCTATTGTTTGGAATAGCTTCAGAAGGAATGGTACCAGCTCCTCTTTGTACCTCTGGTAGAATTCAGCTGTGAATCTGTCTATTCCTGGTCTTTTTTTGGTTGGTAGGCTATTAATTACTGCCTCAGTTTCAGAACTTGTTATTGGTCTATTCAGGGATTCATCTTCTTTCTGTTTCAGTCTTGGGAGGGTGCATGTGTCCAAAAATTTATCCATTTCTTCTAGATTTTCTAGTTTATTTGCATACAGATATTTTGGTATTCTCCAATGATAGTTTGTATTTCTGTGGGATCAGTGGTGACATCCCCTTTATTATTTTTTATTGTGTCTCTTTGATTCTTCTCTCGTTTCTTCTTTATTAGTCTGGCTAGCAGTCTTTTCAAAAAAGCAGCTCCTGGATTCATTGACATTTTGAAGGGTGGTTCATGTCTCTGTCTCCTTCAGTTCTGCTCTGATCTTAGTTATTTCTTGTCTTCTGCTAGCTTCTGAATTTGTTTGCTCTTGCTTCTCTAGTTCTTTTAATTGTGATGTTAGAGTGTCAATTTTAGATCTTCCTTGCTGTCTCCTGTGGGCATTTCGTGCTATAAATTTCCTTCTAAATACTGCTGCTGTAACTGTGTCCCAGAGATTTTGGTACGTTGTGTCTTTGTTGCCATTGGTTTCAAAGAACTTATTTATTTCTGCCTTAATTTTGTTATTTATCTGGTAGTCATTCAGGAGCAGGTTGTTCGGTTTCATTCAATTAGTTAGTTGTGTGGTTTTGAGTGAGTTTCCTTTTTTTTTTCTCTTTAAAAAGTATTTTCTTTTCCTTTTTTTTTTTTAATTGTACTGTAAGCTCTGGGTTTCATGTGCACATCCTGCAGGGTTGTTGCATAGATACACACATGACATGGTGGTTTGTAGTCTGCATCCCCTTGTCACCTACATCAGGCATCAGGAGTGAGTTTCTTAATCCTGAGTTCTAATTTGATTGCACTGTGGTCTGAGAGACTGATTGTTATGATTTCTGTTCTTTGCATTTGCTGACGAGTGTTTTACTTCCAATTATGTGGTCAATTTTAGAATAGGTGAGATGTGGTGCTGAGAAGAATGTATATTCTGTTGATTTGGTGTGGAGAGTTCTGTAGATGTCTATTAGGTCCACTTGGTCCAGAGCTGAGTTCAAGTCTTGAAAATCCTTGTTAATTTTCCATCTCATTAATCTGTCTAATATTGACAGTGGGGTGTTAAAGTCTCCCACTATTATTGTGTGGGACTCTAAGTATCTTTGTAGATTCCTAAGAACTTGCTTTATAAATCTAAATGCTCCTGTATTGGGTGTATATATATTTAGGATAGTTAGCTCTTCTTGTTGCATTGATCTCTTTACCATTATGTAATGTCCTTCTTTGTCTTTTTTTTATCTTTGCTGGTTTAAAGTCTGTTTTATCAGAGACTAGGATTGCAACCCTTGCTTTTCTTGGCTCTTCATTTGCTTGGTAAATCTTCTTCCATCCCTTATTTTGAGCCTATGTTTGTCTTTGCACATGAGATGGGTCTCCTGAATACAGCACACTGATGTATCTTGACTTAATTTAAATTGCCAGTCTGTGTCTTTTAATTGGGGCATTTAGCCCATTTACATTTAAGGTTAATATTGTTATCTGTGAATTTGATCCTGTCATTATGATACTAGCTGGTTATTTTGCCCATTAGTTGATGCAGTTTCTTTGTAGTGTCAATGGTCTTTACAATTTGATATGTTTTTGCTGTGGCTGATACTGATTTTTCCTTTCCATATTTAGTGCTTTTTTCAGGAGCTCTTATAAGGCAGGCCTGGTGGTGACAAAATCTCTTAGCAGTTGCTTGTCCATGAAGGATTTTATTTCTCTTTCACTTATAAAGCTTAGTTTGGCTGGATATGAAATTCTGGGTTGGAAATTCTTTTCTTTAGATTGTTGAATATTGGCCCCCACTCTATTCTGGCTTGTAGGGTTTCTGCAGAGAGATCTGCTGTGAATTTGATGGGCTTCCCTTTGTGGATAACCCAACCTTTCTCTCTGGCTGCCCTTAACATTTTTTCCTTCATTTCAACCTTGATGAATCTGATGATTATGCGCCTTCGGGTTGCCCTTCTCAAGGAGTATGTTTGTGGTGTTCTCTGTATTTTCTGAAATGGAATGTTGGCCTGCCTTGCTAGGCTGAGGACCTTCTCCTGGATGATATCCTGAAGTGTGTTTTCCAACTTGGTTCCATTCTCCCTGTCACTTTCAGGTACACCAATCAAACATAAGTTTGGTCTTTTCACATAGTCCCAAATTTCTTGGAGGCTTTGTTCATCCCTTTTCATTCTTTATTCTCTAATCTTGTCTTCACGGTTTATTTCATTAAGTTGATCTTTGATCTCTGATATCCTTTCTTCTTCTTGATCAGTTTGGCTATTGATACTCATGTTTGCTTCACGAAGTTTTTATGCTGTGTTTTTCAGCCCCATCAGGTCGTTTATGTTCTTCTCCAAACTGGTTATTCTAGTTAGTAATTCCTCTAAGCTCTTTGCAAAGTTCTTAGCTTCCTTGCATTGGGTTAGAACATGCGTCTTCATCTCAGAGGAGTTTGTTATTACCCATCTTCTGAAGCCTGCTTCTGTCAATTTGTCAAACTTATTCTCTGTCCAGTTTTGTTCCCTTGCTGGTGAGCCTTTTTATGCTGGTTTTTTTCTCTTCTTTGTGGATTTATCTACTTTTGGTCTTTAATATTGGTGACCATCAGATGGGGTTTTTTTGTGGACATCCTTTTTGTTGATGTTGATGCTATTCCTTTCTGTTTGTTAGTTTTCCTTCTAACAGTCAGGCATCTCTGCTGCAGGTCTGCTGGAGTTTGCTGGAGGTCCACTCCAGACTCTGTTTGCCTGGGTATCACCAATGAGGCTGCAGAACAGCAAAGATTGCTGCCTGCTCCTTCCTCTGGAAGCTTTGTCCCAGAGGAACACCCACCAGATGCCAGCCAGAGCTCTCCTGTATGAGGTGTCTGTTGACCCCTGCTGGGAGATGTCTCCCAGTCAGGAGGCACAGGGGTCAGGGACCCACTTGAGGAGGCAGTCTGTCCCTTAGCAGAGCTCCAGTGCTGTGTTGGGAGATCCACTGCTCTCTTCAGAGCCAGCAAGCAGGAACATTTAAGTGTAGTGAAGCTGTGCCCACAGCCGCCCCTTCCCCCAAGGGCTCTGTCCCAGGGAGATGGAATTTTTATTTATGCCCCTGACTGGGGCTGCTGCCTTTATTTCAGAGATGCCCTGGCCAGAGAGGAGGAATCAGTCTGGCTACAGCGGCTTTGCCGAGCTGTGGTGGGCTCTGCCCAGTTCAAACTTCCTGGTGGCTTTGTTTAATTTACACTGTGAGGGGAAAGCTGCCTACTCAAGCCTCAGCAATGGTGGATGCCCCTTCCCCCACCAAGCTCGAGCATCCCAGGTCAACTTTAGACTGCTGTGCTGGCAGTGAGAATTTCAAGCCAGTGGATCTTAGCTTGCTGGGTTCTGTGTGGGTGGGATCCTCTGAGCTAGACCACTGGCTCCCTGGCTTTAGTGCCCTTTCCAGGGGAGTGAATGGTTCTCTCTTGCTTGTGTTCCAGGTGCCCCTGGGGCATAAAAAAAAGAACTGCAGCTAGCTCAATGTCTGCCCAACAGCTGCCCAGTTTTGTGCTTGAAACCCAGGGCCCTGGTGGTGTAGGCACCCGAGGGAATCTGGTCTGCGGGTTGTGACAACCGTGGGAAAAGCATAGTATCTGGGCTGGAGTGCACCATCCCTCACATCACAGTCTCTCACAGCTTCCCTTGGTTAGGGAAGGGAGTTCCTGGACCCCTTGTGCTTCCCAGGTGAGGCGATGCCCCACCCTGCTGGCTCATTCTCTGTGGGCTGCGCCCATTGTCTAATCAGTCCCAGTGAGATGAGTCGGGTACCTCAGTTGGAAATACAGAAATCACCTGCCTTCTGCATTGATCTTGCTGGGAGCTGCAGACCAGAGCTGTTCCTATTCGGTCATCTTGACAGCCACTTAACATCTTATCAGAAACATTTTTCATGACACAATCTTCATAGTGATATTTTAGTTACTTCTTCCATGTTTTGAAAAAGTTTTTTTTTTAAACCAAACTTTCTATTTATCAAAGGCACATGAAAATGCTAATTACAGTTTCTAATTAGCATCTGATAATTACCTGTAGTGTAAACTCTGGTTGGGATTTAATTTGCTTGTGTGGCCTGTGTGATTTATATCAGACCTTCTAGAAGTCCATGCTGAAAATAGTTTGCAATGCTGTATTATTATCCTTACAAATCTCTAGGTCCATGAGCCTCAGGGTTGGAACCACTGACTTAAAGGTCCCCTCTCTCATGGAATGTTTCTGATAGATATAATTCTTTTCTAAATGACTAAAAAGATCATTTCTTTTCAACTATTGTAGATGATTCTACAATTAATATTATTTTGTATGTTTCTGCTCTGCCTAAATCTTATGATATCCTCCTCTCCACCAAAATATATTAGGGGCAGGCTACTAAGTCCAAAGGAATAGGCAATTTTATTAATCAAGTGTTACTGATGTTAGTTTGCAGATGGTTATTAAAAAGTTATTTACTGAAGGTACACTTATAGTTGTCTTCCCTCTCTCTTTTCCTTCCTCCCTCCCTCCCTCCTTCCCTCCATCTCTGTGTCTTCTTTCCTTCCTCCCATTCAAAATTTGGGTTCCTAAAATATGCTGAACTAAGCATGTTAATTCAGAAATTCATAGAATGCTACCCTTGTAGAGCTAGTTGGGATGGAAAAGGGTGGGGTTTACCAGTGGCAAGTAGATCCCCATTTCCTACAAGGCTCACAAATGTATCATTTTTATGAGGTATTCATTTATCATTTTATTACTAAATCTTCCCTGAATTTTTAGAGAATAAACCCAGAATACTAATTAGAATAATTTTTGCACAGTATATTTCTTATCGTAAATTAATCTGAGAAACTATAGCACAGATATTGTTTTCTTTTTTTCTCTCCTGCTTCAATCATTTGCTTGTACTCAGCAATTTCTATGGAAGAAGGTAAGAAATAGTATTTGGGAAAAAAACTCTTATCTCCAAAGTCTTTTAGAAATTTCTTATAGTTAAAAAAGTTCACATTAATTTAGTTCAGTTATTTATTAAGCTCTTCCTATATAACTAGTGGTGTGATAGTCATTGACATCTTAATTTACAAAAATATGTCATTTAAAGATATGTATGCAAAGTATAATTATCCTGACACTGAGAGGAATAAAGAAAAGAGAAGTAACATTTATGTGCATCTCCAGAGTTTAGCATAGCATATGAAAATAACTCAATGAAAGCTGTGAAACTGATGAGATGTTTTGTTTCAACTGCATTATACACATTACCTAACAATAACATCATAGTGAAATTGTTATTATTATTCCCATTTTATGGGTGAAAAGATTGACATTCAGAGAAGGTAAGAACAGTTGTCAGTAGTTGCGAACAGTGTGGTCTGTATTCAAGATTCCGTCTGTCTAAAAGGCCCTGCATTAGGGAACAAATGGAACCTTCGGTTACTAGTCTTTCCCCTTCTCCATGCCCAACCATCTGAATGACTCATTTTGATGATACTCTCTCTCTCTCTCTCTCTCTCTCTCTCTCTCTCTCTCTCTCTCTCACACACACACACACACACACACACGAATGCAACAAAGCAAGATGCTGTCTGCTTCCAGAGAGGGAAAAGAAGAGGTGTCCCCTTAGCCACCAATACCCACATTTCATCCTTGAATTTGGAAAGGGAAACCAGAGAACTGCAGAATGACTTTTGAAGGCTGATCTATGAGTATAAGGCTCCAATCTGTGTCCCCCCAGAACAAAAAAACTATATGACACAGGAAGCCAAGAGCAGAAGGAAAGGGAGAGGGAGGCAAGTCCAGGGTGCCTGCTTCTGGTTTGTCTACTCAGGGTCACGTTACAGGCTCCACTCTTACGAGTTGTGAAGGGGAGCTTGGGCATGGCCCTTGAGGGGAAGGGGTGTTGGGAACTCTATGGTCTTGGTGGGTGATAAAGGCCACTGGCTTAGCTTTGAGCTTCCATAAGATACCACAGACTAAGTGATTTAAACAACAGATATTTATTTTTTCACAGTTCTGGAGGCTGAAGTCTAAGATTAAGTTTCCACCAGGGTTGGTTTCTGGTGAGGCCTCTCTTCCTGGCTTGCAGACGGCCACCTTCTTGCTGTGTGCTCATGTGGTGTTGCCTCTGTGCATGCTTAGAGGGAGATGAGGTGGGAGAGAGAGAGAGATTGATTGGGTGTGTTTTCTTCCTATAAGGCCACCAGTTCTATCAAATTAAGGCTGCAACCATATGACCTCATTTAATCTTAATTACCTCCTTAAAGGCCCTATCTCTAAATACAGCCATACTGAGAGGGCAAGGGCTTCAACATATGAATATTGGGGGAACACAATTCAGTATATTATCCTAGCTGATAATGTGGAATTATTGATTTGAACCCTTCCAAGCTGGGTTAATATCATGCTGTGGAGAGTTTTGAGAATTAGGATAAGTAGTTTTTAATGTTATATTCATTTATTCTCTTATACATACTTCAGGTAAAGAGAGCTCATATTTATTATTTACCATATGCCTGAGCATTTCATGCATTTTCTCAGTCCTAGCCTATATGGTAGGTACTATTACTATCCCTATTTGCAGATGAAGAACAGGGGCTTAGAGATCAACTAATTTGTGCAGCATTCAAAAGTCTATGGCTATACATTTTTAACCATTTAATGTTACATAGCCTCCCATGTCATTCATTTTCATTTAATGCAGACCCCTTTTTATCTCTCCAAGTGAGCATTAGTTGTACAAGTAACTTTATCGCCAGGCATGGTGGCTCACACCTGTAATCCCAGTACTTTGGGAGGCCGAGGCGGGTGGATCACGAGGTCAAGAGATCGAGACCCTCCTGGTCAACATGGTGAAACTCCATCTCTACTAAAAATACAAAAAATTAGCTGGGCATGGTGGCACGTGCCTGTAATCCCAGCTACTCGGGAGGCTGAGGCAGGAGAATTGCCTGAACCCAGGAGGTGGAGGTTGCGGTGAGCCGAGATCGAGCCATTGCACTCCAGCCTGGGTAACAAGAGTGAGACTCCGTCTCAAAAAAAAAAAAAAAAAAAGTATCTTTATCATAAGGTGGCCTGAGTTTTATTAACATACATAGTTTTATTTTTATTTTATGAGTTTTATTGACATACATAGGGTTTTTGTTTTGTTTTGTTTTGTTTTTTTTTGAGATGGAATTTCATTCTTGTTGCCCAGGCTGGAGTGCAATGGAGCTATCTCAATTCACTGCAACCTCTGCCTCCCAGGTTCAAGTGATTCTCCTGTCTCAGGCTCCCTGGTAACTGGGATTACAGGCATGCACTACCACGCCTGATTAAGTTTTGTATTTTTAGTAGAGATGGGATTTCACCATGTTGGTCAGGCTGGTCTGGAACTCCTGACATCAGATGATCTGCCCACCTCAACCTTCCAAAGTGCTGGGATTACAGGCGTGAGCCACCATGCCTGGCTGGGAATTTTGTTTTTAATGCAGACACATTTTAAGTTCTATTTCTCCCTTTCTATACTCTTTTATAGAAGATGACATGAAGATTGATGAGAAATGTGTGGAAGCAGGTAATATTTTCTTTTGATTCCTTTGCTGTTAGAAAAAATATGAAGCATGTCAATTACAGATTATCTGAAGCAGAAGTGTTCAAAGGGCTATGGGCCTTTCCTCTGGGAGAAATGTGTAAAATTACCCTCCACCCCCATCTTTCTTCTGTAGTTCTGGCACTTGGAAGAAGCTGTGGTAATGTCTCCAGGTTCCCACCGATGTACTAGAAAATTTGATATTGTTCTAGAAAGCAGTGCTTTGAAAATGGTCTCAGGAACACTTAGGAACACTCTGTGTCAGATGGTGGAACACTTAGAAACCTCTGCTCTTTGTGAAATACCATAAAATATTTGCAGTATCAAATTTTTAAAGAGCAATATATATTTTGTTATTAAGTTTGATGCCATCTTCTGGTAGATTCTAGTATAGATAAATAATAAGTTCCAAAATTATAAGACATGCATGAAAGATTTTACATTTCTATTCTTTAACTGCTTTGTAAATTGGGAAAAGATTTTTCAAACTTAGTGGCAGAACTAAGATTGGCTTAAGAATCACTAGGATTTTGTCGGGAGACTAGCTGGAGAACTTTAGTCTGACGGGTGCATCTGCCTTTGCTCTATGGGCTAGTCTAGTTTTTAGAAGTGAAAGAACAATATAAAATTTTAAAACAGTGGGAATTTCAATGATTCACATATATTTTCCAGAACAACTGCAGAATACTGCTGACCTTATGTTTGTTTTACCAAGTACACATTGTTTGTTAAACTTGCAGTAATATTCATTTCCTTTCTATAATTTTCATTACAATTTTATCAGGTAGTACATTCACATAGTTCAAAATTTTAAAGCTACAAAGGTATATTCAGTAAGAAGTTCCTCTCTTTCCCTGGTCTCTTACTCAGTTTTCTTTCTTGGGGAAATAAATGTTAATAGTTTCTTCAGTATCACCCCAGACATAATTCTGTGCACATAAAAGCAATGATGTATACATCTCTCCTCTTTCCCTCATCATTCCCATCTTTTTTTTCCCCCAAATCCAAATGCACATACCCTTTGATGGCATAAAATGCACACACTGTTCTGTTCCTGGCTTTTCTAATTTAACATTCCGTGTCTTGGAGGTGATTCTTAGCACATAAAGAGCCTCAGTCTTTATTTTTTTTTAACAGCTTACTGTTCATTATATACTTATACAATCACTTATTTGTAGGCATTTGTGTTATGTCCATTTGTTTCTATATAAAGAGTGTTACAATGAATTGGTTCATAAATATATCATTTCACATGTGTGAGAATACCTTAGATGCAGCATTGCCTGATCCAAGGATGCATGCACTGGTAATGTTGCCATATATTTCAAATTGCCCTCCATATCCTTTCTTGTTTCTTAATCCTTCACCTCTTTGTAAAATGCAAACAAGAGTTGTTTTAACTAATGAGGAATTTGTTTATCTCACATCCTTCTCAGTCACCTGATCAAGCCTACTCAATCAAGCCATTCCTATGCTCACTCTCTCCTTTTGTGGACGCCCTACCCTTCAGGCAGGATGCACCCCTCCCACATCTGCAAGCCCTCTGCAGCAAAGCTGAGTAGGATCCAACAATCTACAGGGGTTTCCACTTTCCTCTTCCCTCTGAGCTTCTTTTACATTTTGTTGTATTTATCCTGTTATTTTATTTATTTATTTTAAGTTCTGCTGCACCTCTGACGTCATCATGGCTCAACTGCGGAATACCATGTCCTTCATTTAAAGTTTATATATGCCATAGAGACACTATTGATTTGATCTTGATTTAGGAAAAAAACTTAAAAGGTGGTGTATGGACAGAAGTAGGGGCCAGAGAATTAGACTTAAAATATAGACTCAGTTTAGATGGTCATGTAATAACATTTTTGTTTTTTGCCCCCATGGAAAATCATAGATGAAGAAACATTTGAATCTGGTAAGTAAAAAAATGAATATTTGATATCGATTTTTAAATATATATTCCAGATTTTGATATAATTTAGATACATATTTAGGGTTATAATAATAGGTTAAATATATCAACAGTAAAAAAATTAAAAAGTAACTACATGTATCCCACATCATGTTGTCAACCTTAAATATGCATTATAAATTTTTGTTTATTTTAAATTTTTTTGAGATGAGATTTCTCTGTCACTGAGGCCGGAGTGCAGTGGTGTGATCGTGGCTCACTGCAGCCTTGAACTCCTGAGCTCAAGTGATCCTCCCACCTCAGCCTTTCAAATAGCTTGAACTATAGGCGTATAGCATCACACCTGGCTAATTTATTTATTTATTTATTTTGAGACAGAGTCTCACTCTGTTGTCCAAGCTGAGGTCCAAGTGGGATGATCATAGCTCACTGCAGCCTTGACTTCCTCGGCTCAGGTGATCCTCCCACTTCAGCCTCCCAAGTAGCTGGGACTACAGTCTGATGACACCGTACATGGCTAATTTTTAAATTTTTTGTAGAAACAGGGTCTCACTGTGTTTCCCAGGCTTGTCTCCAACTCCAGGCCTCAAGTGGTTCTCCCATCTTGACCTCTCAAAGTGAGCCACCATGCTTGGTCCCAATAAAATGTATTTTTAAAAATACAGCAACAGTGCAGTTGTGAGATGTAGATTTTACCTTAACCAGTACTTCTCATAGGGCTAGTACTGTCCCTGTTGCGGCATTTCAGAACTGTATGGGAGCATTTTTTTTTTTTTTTTAATTGCCACACTGATTGAGGATACTCCTGGGCTTTGACTGGTATCTCCTGACCCACATATCTTCCGAATGTCCTGCTGGACAAAACTCATTATAAAAATAAAAGGGTCAATCTTTAACACACAAAAAGTTTTCATAAGATTTAGCATGAGAAGCACAGTGGTTTAGAAGATGGTCATTATGTAAGGAGACATTCAAACAGAATGCAGACATTGCCTTGTAATTATTCAATGATTTATTTCATGTATCCTGTCTGTTCGATATTGCTAGTAAATAAACTGAAAAATATGACATCTATACTGAATTTTCTTTTTCTTTAATACATTATTCGTTAGTATTGATCACATATGGTAAGTGTCTGTTCCTCAAAATAATGTTGACATTATTAGAAACAAAATAGGCCCCACAGAATTTTACTTCTAAGCTGGAGTGCAGTGGTGTGATATGGGCTGACTGCAATCTCTGCCTGTCAGGCTCAGGTGATTCTCATGCCTCAGCCTGTTGAGTAGCTGGGATTACAGGTGTGCACCACCACACCCAGCTAATTTTTGCATTTTTAGTAGAGACAGGTTTCCATGTTGCTCAGGCTGGTATCGAACTCCTGGCCTCAAGTGATCAGCCTGCCTCAGCCTCCCAAAGTGCTGGGATTACAGGCATGAGCCACTGCGCCTGGGCTGATATATATACTTTTAAAATACAAATTATTTTCTTTTAAATGTTTCTTTATATTACAGCTGTAGCATTGTATTGATTCTTTAAATTACATTTGTGGTATATTACACTATGAATTTCCTTTCATAAAAGAGAGATTGCTACAAATATTGGTTATAAAAAAAGACATTGTTGAGACAGATGAGTTGTGAACTACTTTTCTAAATTATTTACATTTATGTTGTTTTGAAATTTCCTATTTTCCATTAGATGTTTGGCCTGTTAGGAATAACTTAATTATTTATACTTGCTCAGTGTTTGGAATTGGCTTAGTTTTTAATTCCTCTAGCTTATTCCCATCCTTCTTTGTTCTGTCTATCTGGAAAACACTCCACTCCTTTCGAAGGCTGTGATTGAGGCTGGGGAGTTTGGGAGTCTGTGAGTAAGACCATGGACTCCAGCTAGATCGACCAGTTTGAACCCTGGGTTCGTTACTCACTAACTGTGGGTTCTCTGGCCCTTAACCTCTCTCCTCTTCAGGTTCCCCATCTCTAAATGGGATCAATAGTTATATGAGTAAAGTGCTTAGAACAGTGCCTAGCATACAGGAAGTGCTACATGAGTGTTAGTGGGTGTTATTATTGTGAAATCTTGTTCCTTGCATGAGTCAGCAGCTAGCTTTTTCAGAGCAGCACTGCAGAGGGAGGTGCCTACTGTAAAGCACACTTTGTGGACTCCTCTTGGCTGAAAAAGTTAATATGTTCTGAACCCAGCTTTCTTAGGAGCTCAATTAAGGGACAAATAGCACCCAGCTGGCATATTTTCTAAGCGAAGGACCCTTGGCTTCATTCCGTGATGCTTAACTCTGTTACTTAGACCACTTAGTGAGCAATTAAGGTTCTTCAGTTTCAGTCTCTAGTCTGAATAAAGTATAATGTGACTTCCTTGAATTTCTCCAGGAGGTGATGATACTGTTTATTTAATCAGAAACACCATTAAAAAAAGAAAAAAAAAAAAAAAAGGCCAGCCATGGTGGCTCATGCCTGTAATCCCAGCACTTTGGGAAGCTGAGGCTGGCAGATCACTTCAGGTCAGGAGTTTGAGACCAGCTTCACCAACATGACGAAACCCCATCTCTACTAAAAACACAAAAATTAGTAGGGCATGGTGGCTCATGCCTGTAATCTCAGCTACTCAGGAGGCTGAGACGGGAGAATCGCTTGAACTTGGGAGGTGGAGGTGGCAGTTGAGCCAAGATAGTGCCATTGTACTCCAGCCTGGGTGACAAAGGAGAGTCCATCTCAAAACAAACCAAAAAACAGAATATGGCTGTTTTGTGATGTCTGGAAAACAAATTAAACAGTTTGGTTTGTATTTGGTTGCCTCTGTCTTCAAGGGGCAGCAGGGGATGGAAGTGTGTGAGACACAGGAAGGGCAAGGAATGAGGACGCTCGCTTGGGCCAGAGGCTGCTGTATTGCCAGCCCCAGCGCCATTTCTACCACATCCCCCTACCCGCTTCACAGAGCTGGCAGTACTGCCTTGGGGAGAGGCGAGAGAAGGCGCAAACCTGCTACCTTCCTGTAACCTCTCCCTTTGAAGCTCCATTTTGTGCCAACCAAGCCTTCAGGACCAGGCTAGGTGGCTCATGCCTGTAATCCCAGCACTTTGGGGGGCTGAGGCGGGCAGATCACAAGGTCAGGACATCGAGACTATCTCAGCCAGTATGGTGAAACCCCATCTCTACTACAACTACAAAAATTAGCTGGGTGTGGTGGCACCTGCCTGTAATCTCAGCTACTCGGGAAGCCGAGGCAAGAGAATCACTTGAACCTGGGAGGCAGAGGTTGCAGTGAGCTGAGATCACACCACTGCACTCCAGCCTGGCAACAGAGCGAGACTCATCTCAAAAAAAAAAAAAAAAAAAAAAAAAAAGGCCGGGCGCGGTGGCTCAAGCTTGTAATCCCAGCACTTTGGGAGGCCGAGGCGGGTGGATCACGAGGTCAAGAGATCGAGACCATCCTGGTCAACACGGTGAAACCCCGTCTCTACTAAAAATACAAAGAATTAGCTGGGCGTGGTGGCGCGTGCCTGTAATCCCAGCTACTCAGGAAGCTGAGGCAGGAGAATTGCCTGAGCCCAGGAGGCGGAGGTTGCGGTGAGCCGAGATCGCGCCACTGCACTCCAGCCTGGGTAACAAGAGCGAAACTCCGTCTCAAAAAAAAAAAAAAAAAAAAAAAAAAGCCTTCAGGGAGAGTCTTGATAGGCAACTTTCAGAAACAGTTACTGTCTTAAGCAGCGGAGTCGGGGCGAATGGGTTTCTCAGTCCTAGTTGTGTGGTATTCATTTGCCTTGCCAGGCCTTATCTGAGTTACCTTTTGCTAGTGGTGATGTGAATGCCTTGCTTATGTAATTTGCCTTGATTTGATGGCTAACATGATCTTAAAGGCTTAACTTTATCATGTCTGTTTCTGCACTTACCCAAATATCCAGAGGAACTTTCAGAAGGTAATTGTTTTTATTTCCTAGATATGCCAAATAGAACTATGTTTAAGATCTCTCAGTCTCTCAAAATGAATACTTGACAGGATGGTGTTTCAGATGAAGATATGATATTTGTTGGACTTGACAGCATGGTAGAATATGGCAAAAAAAACCAAAAACGATACGATATTTGTTGTTGTTGTTTACAGTTTTCCCCTAATATTTACATTTTTTTCTTCAGGAAACATACTTCCAAACTAAGTTTGTGAGGTTTCTCCAAGGATAAGATATTTTAAGGGTGAAATCTATGATTAAATATTCAGTTTCATAGACAACATTTAAAAGAACTATGAAAATAATTAAGCTTTATTAATATACTCCCAAGAAAACATTTCCTTTTAAACTTAACTGACATATCTAAATGAGGAAATGTGCTTACTTACCAAAATAGAATTGATATTGGTGTGTTTTCTTTCTTTATATTTTAAAACACATGTTTTTTTTTTAAAAGGTTAAGAAAAAAGATTCATTCTATGAACAAAATGCTCGCTCTCTCTCTCTCTCTCTCTCTCTCTCTCTCTGTATATATATATATTTTAAGACAAAGTCTCTCTCTCTTTCCCAGGCTGGAGTGCAGTGGTACAATCTCAGCTCACTGCAACCTCCATCTCCCAGGTTCAAGTGATTCTCCTGCCTCAGCCTCCCAGTTAGCTGGGATACAGGCACAAGCCACCATACTTGGCTAATTTTTGTGTTTTTAGTAAAGGCAGGGTTTCACCATGTTAGGCAGGCTGGTCTTGAAATCCTGACCTCAAGTGATCTGCCTGCCTTGGCCTCATTAAGTTATGGGATTACAGGTGTGAGCCACCTCGCCCAGCCATATATTATTTCAATGATCAGAGCAGAGCTGTATAAATGAGAAGGAACTTAAGTAAAAAGTAGTTTGAAAATAATATTGTTATAATATTTTTTTCCAGAGTTTTTTCTGAGGTCTCAGTGGAGGGAGAAATAGGAGTCTGAACTATCTGTAGATGCTTCAGAGGCATTGGGCAGTTTTTCTTTTTGTCTCTCAGAGTCCTGGCCAGGCAGAGACATTTGGCAGCCATAGAGCAAAGCTTATTTGCCATAGAATAAATCCCTTTGAGAGGAAGAAAATAAAAACCCGTATCTAGCAAAGAGATTAATTATAGGACCTGCAGAAAAAATAATGTTATAAACACAGTATGGTCAAGAACAAGGCTGGGCATGGTGGCTCATGCCTATAGTCCCAGCACTTTGGGGGGCTGAGGCAGGTGGATCACCTGACGTCAGGAGTTCAAGACCAGCCAGACGAACACGGTGAAACTCCATCTCTACTAAGAATACAAAAATTAGCTGGGTGTGGTAGCGTATGCCCATAATCCCAGCTGCTCGGGAGGCTGAGACAGGAGAATTGCTTGAACCTGGGAGGTGGAGGTTGCAGTGAGCCAAGATCATGCCATTGCACTCCAAACTGAGCAACAAGAGCAGAAGAAAAAAAAAAAAGAATAAAAAGCTACTTTAAACTTAAAGTTATAACATATTGAATCATAGTAAAAACATAAAAACTGGGTGTGTATTTTTAAACAGATCCTAAGGAAACTTATCTTAAAAAACTAATAAACTGGTTTTGGCTTTAACCATACTAGACAGAATACATTCGGTGTAATGCTCAAATTCTGTGAAGTGCATCTCTATAGTTTTTTGTGTGTGAATAATAGGATGAAAAATGCTTAGAACATTCAATGAGCCTCTCCGTCTCCTAAATTCAACTAGGTTGCCATCTACTAAGGTAGTCACTTGAAATGTTGAAGATGATTTCATGAATTTGTCCTAAATAAACTTCTTGCTCTCACATATTCTGTTCCTGCTGTTCTCTGTGTTCCAGACAAGGAAGAATTTGTTGGCTATGGTCAGAAGTTCTTTATAGGTAGGTGGTAAATTAATAAGAGGTGGGTCGTGTCTCTGTCACTTGTTAAATTATGTTTCCAAGCCTGACACTGTTTTGAAAGTTTCTTTTGCTGATGGACCTTTCCAAACCTGTTCCTCATTCTAGATTCCTTTTCTTTCTGTCCTTTTTTTCTTGTCAATATTCTGATCTGTTAAGTATTCATCGTTACTCATCTAATTTCCACTGGGTACCCATTAATTACTCATCAAACACAAATCTTTTTGTTTTCTTCTAGACTGTTTCATAAACTATTTAACTTATGCTAAGGAGACAAAGTCTCTGACTTTTAATCTTACTTCTTATGGCCACATTTCTCAAATCTGTCACCTGGGCAGAGCTTTGTGAAAGACCAGGTACCACTCATCTAAAATCACTCTGGGCTTCCTTCTACAGTGAGACAGGGGAAGACTAGCAGAGCTGAGGGGTCTGTAAACTAGGAGGTTATTTCCCAAGCTGGATGCATTTTGGAATCATCAGGGGAGTGTGAAAAAAAAAAAAAAAAAAAAAAAGGTAGCGGCACCTTTCTGCATTGCTTTCAGAATCATTCAGCCTAAATGCTATTAGATAGAGCTGAGCAGAGTAGGCAGCTGCACAGAGGTAGAGAATTGGAGCACGAGCAGGCTGATGAAGGCATCTGTGCAGGGGACAGTGGTAGCCTGGTGCAGATTGTCAGAGCCAGAAAAAAATCAAGAGGTCAGCTGCCAGCACTTGGCCCCTGATACCCAACAGGCTTTACAAAGATGCCTGCCTCACTAGCTTGGGCTCTGACACTTTCTGCCAGCTATCGACACTGTGTGTCTCCTATCTTGCACAAGTGCTCTTGATTGATACAATATGCAAATGTACTGAGGATGACAAGGGCCAGGATTATCGCTGTTAGAGAAGGGAGTTATAATCATGGAAAGGGAAAGTCTAGAGTGAATCCTGTGGTGTTGGATTGACATTGTAGGTACTGGTGTGAACTCATGGTTTTCAATATATAGACATACAAATATAGATGGAAGTGTGCATGTGTATTTATATGTACACATAGAGTTGCTAACTCTGTCTACTGAGAGGACCTGGGAACAGCTCTGAAGATACCAGAAAGCCCTGTGATTCCAAAAGCAGATAAGCAGGAATCTAGGAGCTCAGAAATCATGATCCATATGTCCAGCTTTGCCACCGATCCCACAGTCCTAATCAACCATGTGACCTGTCTGTGTCTTAGTGAAGCCACCTGAAAAATGTGAAAAATGCACCTGCTCCACTCTTTCAACCCTGGCCTAAGCCACCCTCATCTCTCACCCAGACCACTGCAGTAGCCTCCTAACTGCTCCCCCTAAGGCCACACTTACTCTCCCTATGGTTTACACCCTTCCCTCAGAAACCAGAGTAGTCTTTCAGAAACATGAATCAAATCATGTCACTGCCAACAGCTTCCCGTCACACTTTCACCACAATCCAACACTTTTCAGAGGCCCCGTGTGATCTGGCTCCAGCCATTTTCCAACCCCATTTCCATACTCCCTGTTGCTTACTGCCCTGTAGCTACGCAGGGTTCCTTGGGGTTCTCAAATGCTCCAAGCATAGTCCCTTTCTCTGCACCACTGCGCTTGCTGTCTCCTTGGCCTGGCTTGCTCATCCCCACAGAGGCTTCCTCATCTGGCTTCCTGCCTTCATCCAGATGTCTACTCAATGCCAACCTTTCAGAGATACTCTAATCTTACTGCCTATCTGAAAAAGCAGCTTTGTTACTCCTATCCACCTAGTCTTCCTGTAAGTACTTATTTGTTGTTTTTTATTTTTGTCTCTCCTCTTCTACAAAACAAAAATTTCATGAGAAAATGGTCTTGGATTAGTTGACCCCTTTATCCCCAGTACCCAGGACAATGCCTGGCCTAGAGCGGGTGCTAGATGGGCTAGCACAGAGGGCATTCTTGTATGTTTCCCTCATATTGCTTCCCATCTTCTAACTTCAGCCAGACGTGACTATATTAATGAACACTTCAGGATCGTGGTTGCTACATATTTCATCAGGTGTGAAGCTAGAAATGACCTCTCCTGCCTGAATCTTATGTTCTGTGTGCTTCCCTTCCCCAGCTGGCTTCCGCCGCAGCATGCGCCTTTGTCGCAGGAAGTCTCACCTCAGCCCCCTGCATGCCAGTGTGTGCTGCAATGGCAGCTGCTACAGTGCAGTGGGTGCCCCTTACGAGGAGGTGGTGAAGTACCAGCGACACCCTTCAGACAAGTACCGCCTCATAGTGCTTGTGGGTATGTCCCAGCATGCACTGTCTCTCCTCATCCTTGGGAAGTTTTCCTTCTAGATTCAGGTGTCTTGCATTGGGAATAATTGTAAAAGTAGAACTTTTTATGGACCCCATACGAATACCTTTTTTAAAAACAAAATTAAGCCATTGTACATGTGTGTTCATAAGTAAAATTTTATTGTATCAAGCTTTAAAAAAAATCTACAAGTGAATGTGATATACCATGGTGTCCATGAACTTATATAACAAGCGTTATGTTGTGGTTATAACTGAGATTTTTTTTTTTGCCTGCTTAGAATTGTTCCATAAACATAGCTGAGTGTTCCCTGAGACAGATCATTAGCCTGCATCATGAAAATAAATCCTTAAAGTTCATTTCTCTGAGAAATGTGTTAAATCCTTTAAGTCCATTCCCCTAAGAAATTTGTAACTACTTATTTTAGAAAAGTATCTAACATCTTCTGGACTGTATCTTTGGTGCTTTATAAAGATCAGGGCAAAGCTGGTCCCTATAGCAGTAGCAACTTGTATCGTACTGCCTTCCTGTGTTCGTGTTTAGCTTCGTGAGTAAGGCAGGTCCCTGAAGAGCAGAACAATGTGCCTTACAGCTGGGACCAGCAGTATCATTTGCAGGCCCCATCGTAAAATGCAAATGCAAGGGTGCCTTGTTAAAAAATTATCAAGGATTTCAAGATGCAATAGCAGTGAACTCACCCAAGCACGGTGTCCTTCTAAGCATGGGCCCTGTGTAACCGCACAGGCTCTACACACAGGAAGTCAGCCCTGCCTCCAGTTGGACAGAGGGGTGCTGACTTAATCACCTGTCAGGAATGTGCCTCTCAACTCTGTAAGTCACAGAACCTATAGTTGTCGAGGTTGATTTCTGGTTGTGACTTGATAAATACTTCATTTGAAGAAGAAAGGCAGAGCTCTCTTATTCTCTAAAATGAGATCAGCTAATTCTCCTGGCATTCAACATTAGATGAAGTTTGCTGGGGGTCAGGCTTCTGTGATTCCTTACCTCATTTCTGAATGTTGAAGCAATGTGGATTATTCCATGGGTCACTAGGAAAATTCCCAAGAGTTTTCTGGGGTTGTTCCAATTTATGAGAAAGGAAGTTACATAATTTCCCTAAAAATATTTGCCCTCAAGTTTCTTCAGTAGAAGGACTAAAATGATTCCATCACATAATTATATTTATCCACATCTGATGATTTCTGTGTGTGACTTTTTGTGTTTAGGACCCTCTGGTGTTGGAGTAAATGAGCTCAGAAGACAACTTATTGAATTTAATCCCAGCCATTTTCAAAGTGCTGTGCCACGTATGTTTAGTTTTTCTTTCATAATGGTTTGTATTTTGCTGAAACATCCTTTGCTGGTCTCATTTAACTATGTCATTCCATCTTTTCTGAAAAGTATACAACTCAAGGGATTCTTCTTGAAGAATTTAGTATTTCTAACCAATTTATTTTAATAAGGAAAATTGACCTATTGGAATATAGGCGGCTAGGCTTTTAAAAGGTCTTTTTTCTATTTCCTAACAATTATATGGATGGCCTTTCAGGCAAACTAATAGTTAGCAATAATAGCTCATGTGCACTCAGTGCTTACTATCCTCCCAGCACTGTACTTGGCTCTTTAAATGCTTTATCTATTTTTTAATCTAAAAATTGATATATGTACACATAATTTTATGTAAATTTATGAGTATGATTATACAATACATAGCCATTTTAAAAATGGTGTTTTTTGGCTGGGCACGGTGGCTCACATCTGTAATCCCAGCACTTTGGGAGGCCAAATTGGGCAGATCACCTGAGGTCGGGAGTTCAAGACCAGCCTGGCTAACATGTTGAAACCCCATCTCTACTTAAAATATAAAAATTAGCTGGGTGTGGTGCTGCACGCCTGTAATCCCAGCTACTCAGGAGGCTGAGGCAGAGAATCCTTTGAACCTGGGAGACAGGGGTTGCAGTGAGCTGAGATCATGCCATTGCACTCCACTCTGGGCAAGAAAGTGAGATTCTGACTCAAAAAAAAAAGGGTGTTTTCTTCTTTCCTTTTACTCATAACTCCTTTATTTCTCCTAAGCTCCCCATTCACTACTAGCAGCTCCAAACCAACTCCTGAAACATAATCTTCTAAGCTTTATTCTATGCAGAATTGTGTGAGTTTTTACCCATTTACAGTTGTATGAAGGTTTTTTTTTTAAGCTTTAAGACATTTGAAAGCTACAATTCTAAAAATAGAAGGAATTATTTATTTCATACGGAGATTCAGCCTTAAAAAAAAAAAGCTTTAGAATCACTCTAAGAAAAAAACCTCTTTTATTGTAAAAATAGAAAAGATGAAGACTTGAGATAGAATTCCTGATTTCAAGAAAATAGAAAGTTAATAATAATGCATTTATAATAATTATAATAATGCATAGTTTCTAATATGTGTAAAAGGAAGTTAAAATTTTGACTGAGACACTAAGTTGTACATCTTTAAATGAGGAATGTGAAAACAAGTTAAACTCTTCACACAGCTGGAAGGTATAAAAAGCTTGGGGAGAGAGATTGATGGTGGCTTTTCAGGAAGGCTTTTATTGGAGAGAGCTGTGCTGTGTGTTCCTGACCCACTGGGTGTGTGTGAGTGTGTGAGTGTGCCTGCTTCCCCCTCCCCCTCAAGGCAAGACAGAGGAACTTAGGGGGACCACTTAGAGGGCTTTCTATGTGTCCTGTGCACTTTAGGGGACACCGAAGAATGGTGTCCAAATTACACCTGAAAAATCCAAAGGAGGAGAGCTTACAGGAAGTGGCCAATGGCTGTAATTTGGGAAGTAGCTGTCCTTGTAGGGTCCATCACAGCTACACTTGTGATATTCCCCAAGGACCAGATCTGGGCAGATAATATGTAAGAAAGTCAGCCCAGGATTAGCTGATGACTGCCCAGGAAGAAGCCACAAGGAGAAAAAGGCCAAATGTAGGCTCCCAGATACATCGGGCTTTGAAAGGAATCACAGATGAACTGGAATAGGAATGGACTTGAGAGGCCTGGTGGTGGTGGTGAGAGGGTTTGCAAAATAACCCAACATATCGTTTAGGAGAGAAAGAGCCAGATTTAATCATCTGCCAAATCTAAAGGGAGCCAATGGCAGCCAGCATCAGTATTTGTCAAACCAGAACTTTCCTTCCTGCTTTCCTCTCCTTGCCCACACTCTAGGCTTAGAGAGTTCTGAACCAGCGGGAGAGAGATTGGTAGGGGGCAGGGAGAAGCAGGAGCAGTAGAAATTGATGAAAGGAAAGAGAACTTTGACTCATACTCTCCTTCCTGACACCTGGCTTCTCTGAGCCTAGTCTTCCCTGGTGCAGCAAATCTGAGCCAGATGTGTGGAGAAGCAGCCTAAAATCTAAGTGAAGTTTATAATTTTGATAATTACTTGGGAATGGAATTTTAATTACTCAGTTGAGACTGGATGATGAAAATGAAATTGTGGCATGAGTGATGATAGACTTTTAAAATTAAACCTGAGTGAGAGAATCATGGAAACTGTTAGTTTTTTGTTTTCTTTTGTTTTGTTTTTGAATCAGAGTCTCCCTCTGTCGCCCAGGCTGGAGTGCAGTGGCGCCATCTCAGCTTACTGCAACCTCCGCCTCCCGGGTTCAAGTGATTCTCCTACCTCAGTCTCTCAGATAGCTGGGATTACAGGCGCACACCACCATGCTCAGCTAATTTTTGTAGTTTTAGTAGAGACAGGGTTTCACCATGTTGGCCACTCTGGTGTCGAACTCCTTACCTCAAGTGATCTGCCTCAGCCTCCCAAAGTGTTGGAATTACAAGCGTCAGCCACTAAGCCCAGCCAGGAAACTGCTAGATTTTTATGCAGGGGTTGGGGAAGATCTTGCCTCACAGAGGAGCAGTGGGAGACAAATAAGTTGCTTTATGATCGCATCCCATAGGCTGTGCTTTCTGAAGTACTGCTTCTATGTACAGAAATGGGCATTCATCTCAAAAATAACTACCAAATAAATCACCATTTTTCTTATTTTGAGATAGAGTCTCACTCTGTCACCCAGGCTGGGGTGCCGTCGTGGCACGATCTCAGCCCATTGCAACCTCTGCCTCCTGGGTTCAAGTGATTCTCCTGCCTCAGCCTCCTGAGTAGCAGGGATTGTAGGTGCATGCCACCACGCCCAGCTAATTTTTGTATTTTTAGTAGAGATGAGGTTTCACCACATTGGCCAGGCTGGTCTCAAACTCATGACCTCAGGTGATCCACCAGCCTGGGCCACCCAGTGTGCTGGGATTACAGGCGTGAGCCACCATACCCAGCTGAAATTGCCATTTTTGGATGGTCTGGATAAAAATGCCCACAGAGTATGGAAGAATTTTAAGAATTTCAACATAGAATTTTAATTATTCAAAGTGAGAAAATATTGCCCATATTTTGCTTTTTAAATTGAAGTTTTAAGCTTAAAATTGATACCTTGAGTTATGCATCAATTCACAGACTTTAACTTACCATGTAAATATTAGTCCAATGGAAGCAAAGGAGGAAGAGTCATCTTGGGTTTATCCTGACGTAATTCACCATCACCTGAGAGCTATAAGGTTTTACTAGAATTTTTTTTTTTAAAGTAAGAAGTTATGGGAGATGTGGCATAACTGCAGGAATGCTAAGGATATGATGAGAGGCTTGAATAAGGAAAAACAAAAATGACCCCAAAATAACATATGCTTTTAGACCCCCTTAAAGGTTGGTAACTCCTTTGGTAATTTAAGGCTGGTTTTGAGCTCCTACTTGATCATTTCCCTGTATTGATATTATCAGATGTTGATTTATTTCATCCTTAAACTTTGTCAAATGCAAATATACAAATTCTTTATGAATAAGGGGAATTGGTGGTAATGTAGATTAAGGGACTAGCTTTACAGCATACAGGATGCAGAGCTGAAACTGTGTCTTACTTATCTTTGTGTTTTCGGAAACTAACATGATACCTGGAACATAGTAGGTATTCAGTACACACTAGTTGAATAAATGGATGAGTAGACTACAAATAACTTGTAGGTACTTGATGGACTCCTGTATTCTCTACCACCTGGCACTATTTAAGTTGAAGAGTCTGTTATCAAAGTGGCCATATCAAAGAATCAGACTGAATCTAGACTCATCCGATCTTTCCCTCCTAGAGATCCCTAAATGAATCACCACTCACTTGGGTATTAATGCATCAGTCTTGACCATAATGCATCTGGCCAAGACTGCAGAATGTCATGGGCTTTTTCCATTTCAAATTTAAGAATCTATTGTTGTAGGAAATATTCATCTAGGAGGAGTCAGAACAGAGGTTCTAATTCAACTTCATTTTTCATGAGTCTTGTGAATGTGAGCAAGTTTCTCCAAAAGCTTTACTTGTGAGTAAATTATAGATATTAACAGTTTACCTAGGATAAGAATGTGGAAAATGAAATGAGATCATGGGAAATGCACTATCCAAATGTAACATATTATTGGTATTGCTACCTAGGAACCTTTAGGCATCTTAGGGTTCACACATAATTCACTAGCACTTGTTCTGAAGTAATAACAGGTGTCCCCTGAGGTCTTTCTCAACCTGGCTTAATATCTAGTGCATTCTTTTCCATACCATCAGCACTCAATAAAAATTTATAGACTAACTGATTTTGATATAAGACCTTACCACCAATTCAGACTTCTTCTCTTTAGTTCTAGCATTTTCTTTATCTATTTGATTATATATTCATCTATTTATTTTGATTAGCTATCTCTATTCAAATGCATAGTGGGAATAAAGAATTTTGAAGACTCTGAAACCTTTCATTCGTTTTTTTTTGATAGATACTACTCGTACTAAAAAGAGTTATGAAATGAATGGGCGTGAGTATCACTATGTGTCCAAGGAAACATTTGAAAGCCTCATATATAGTCACAGGTAAAGTAGAGGTTCAGAAGCTAATTCTTCCCTCTGGTTGTTTTACACTCAAAATGGATTTCCTATTTTTATGTATTTTCCAAAGCTCCTGGGTAATTTCTTTTGTTTTTGAGGAGTTAAGCAAGAAATGTACATTGACATACCAGCACACCAATTCACTGGGTTTGGAAAGGGAGCAGAATGGAGTTTGCAAACCTAGGAGAACTTGAGGAAATACATAAACTGTAGATATCCTCATTTTGTTCGCCTCTTTAATATTTATTAATTCTTTCTGTGCTAATAAAGTTCACATATTTATATTCAGTTCTAGAGTAGTTTATCCTCATGTTACTACTAATAATATTTTCTTTGTAGAAAGCATTCTATTTTGTTTGGCCTGCCCTTGCAGGATGCTGGAGCATGGTGAGTACAAAGGCCACCTGTATGGCACTAGTGTGGATGCCGTTCAAACAGTTCTTGACGAAGGAAAGGTCTGTGTCAGTGGACTTAGAGCCCCAGGTGGGTCCATGGTGGAATATTGGATGCATGCCATCCATTTTTTGTGTGCACATACTATAGATTATAGTTGAGACATTTATTCTGTTAGGCTTTTAAGAATAAAGCCATTTCTTATATCTAAGATTTTACACAATATGTCAATTGACAACATTTTGCTTTTAGTTGAGAAAGAAGTCTTGCTTCTCAGACAGAAAAGCAGAACTGAGTGGGTGGCCACGAAGAGAAGCGAGTATCTTTCTTGCTTTAACCTTGATCACAAAGGCATCAAGGTAACTTCTTGTTGCTTTGTACAAGGAGGTGAGGTTTCTATGTTGTCATATCTGTGGCTACCTTCCTGAGACCACATGTAGAATGGAGCAGGCGTAAGTGAGTTAAGGTAAGATAAAGAACATGCAATCCGTAGGCCCAATTTTCATGATCTTCATATTTTCTTTGTGTGTGTGTATGTTTGTTTGTTTTGTTTTTTGAGACAAGGCCCTCCTCTGTAGTCCAGACTGGAGTGCAGTGGCGCAATCTTAGCTCACTGCAACCTCCGCCTCCTGGGTTCAAGCAAGTTCAAGCAACCTCCTCGGCCTCTCAAGTAGCTGGGACTACAAGCGCAAGCCACCATGCCTGGCTAATTTTTGTATTTTTAGTAGAGACAGGGTTTCACCATGTTTGCCAGGCTGGTCTGGCAATAGAACTCCTAGGCTCAAGCAATCCTCCTGCCTTGGCCTCCCAAAGTGCTGAGATTATAGGCGTGAGCTACTGCGCCCAGCCACGTTTTCTTAGTCATTTAGAAATTTACATTGTGTTCTAGATAATCAGAGGAAAAAAGATGGCAGTAGTATCCAATGTGAGACAATAGCAAGAGGAAAGGGAAGTGAAGGTGAAACAGAGCTCATCCATCTTGACAGTTTGTCTTTGTCTTTGTAATATGAGATAATGTATAGACTCCTACTCTTAGTACATGAGCTTCTCACATGTATAGACTCTTACACATCTAGTAAGATTTCAGTAGCTAGTCATAATAAGAGTCAGGAGTTGACCTTAATTTTTATTATAAAACCCCATCTCTAAATTATTAAAATGTTTTTTAGAATTGAGAAATTGGGGCACATGAGACTATATTCTAACTAAAAATAATTGCTAATTTTTGGTCTTAGAAATTTTGAGAAGCTTCATGTTGACTCTAGAAAGTTAGGTGCAGTGGTCAGGTGCAGTGGCTCATGCCTATAATCCCAGCACTTTGGGAGGCCAAGATGGGAGGATTTCTTGAGGACAGGTGTTTGAGACCAGTCTGGGCAACACAGTGAAACCCCATCACTACAAAAAATAAAAAATTAGCTGGGGCCGGGTGTGGTGGCTCACGTCTGTAATCCCAGCACTTTGGGAGGCTGAGGCAGGCAGATTACTTGAGGTCAGGAGTTTGAGATCAGCCTGGCCAACACGGTGAGACCCCATCTCTACTAAAAATACAAAAATTAGCTGGTCATGGTGGCACATGCCTGTAATCCCAGCTACTAGGGAGCCTGAGGCACGAGAATTGCTTGAACCTGGAAGGCAGAGGTTGCAGTGAGCCGAGATGGTGCCATTGCACTCCAGCTTGGGTGACAGAATGACACTGTCTCAAAAACAAAACAAAATAAAATAGCTGGGAATGGTGGCACATGCCTGTGGTCCCAGCTACTCAGGAGGCTGAGATGGGTGGATCGTTTTGAGCCTAGGAGGTTGAGGCTACAGTGAACTATGATTGTACCACTGTACTCCAGCCTGGGTGACAGAGCAAGACCATGTCTCAAAGCAAAACAAACAAAAAATAAATGTGCAGTTAATTTTTCTGTGTAGGATATTCAAGTGGCTCGAACCCATGAACTGAAGCCCTATGTCATATTTATAAAGCCATCGAATATGAGGTGTATGAAACAATCTCGGAAAAATGCCAAGATTATTACTGACTACTTTGTGGACATGAAGTTCAAGGTAAGAGCAAGTCAAAAATCACTGTATTGCTTTCAGTGACTTCTGAGTGAGAGAGATTTGTGTTGGGCCAGGCCAAGGAACTCTGATCTCATTGTCCTCCTCCTTCTTTTTGAAACCCCTCCCCAAAAGGTCCTCAATAAAATTATTACTATAATTTTATTTTACCAAAAAAAATCTATAAAAAAATTAAAAACTGTATTGTTTCTACAGGACCTGTGTTAGAGAATGTAATTTTTGTTTCTAATGGTAATGCCCTTATGATTTATCCTTTTTTATAGACATCACTTACAGGTATAAAAATAAAGTTTAATAAATGCTACTTTGCTATCCTTTTTTCTATATTCTTTTTTTTTTTTTTTTTTTTGGACTAGCTTAAAAAAAATCATTGAGCCATAGTTTGTACAGCCAAACAGAAATTGGGCATATACAAGCCTGATATTTGTATTTTGAACAGATTTTACTTAAAAGCTTACTTTAAAAATGCTCTAGGGAGTATATCTCATCTGTAAAATGAGGCGTCTCACAAAAAATTTTATTAATGATCATGGTAATAATAGAGGGGGCAAGCCAGGTAAAATTAATCAGTGATCTCATCCTAGAACAGGTGAGTTTTTCCAGTTGGAGACATTATATATATATATATATATATATATATATATATATATATATATATATATTTTTTTTTTTTTTTTTTTCTTGAGACAGAGTTTCGCTCTTGTTACCCAGGCTGGAGTGCAATGGCACGATCTTGGCTCACCACAACCTCCGCCTCCTGGGTTCAGGCAATTCTGCCTCAGCCTCCTGAGTAGCTGGGATTACAGGCACGCGCCACCATGCCCAGCAAATTTTTTGTATTTTTAGTAGAGACGGGGTTTCACCATGTTGACCAGGATGATCTCGATCTCTTGACCTTGTGATCCACCTGCCTCGGCTTCCCAAAGTGATGGGATTACAGGCTTGAGCCACCGCGCCCGGCTGGAGACACATATTTTACATTAAACACACTTTAAATATTGTGAGTCATAACATATATTCAGTAAGGTGTATAAATGGAGTATACAGTTTAATGAATTTTTATGTGTGTATGCACCCAGATAACCATTACCCAGATAAAGATATTATAGTCACTTATTTTGTGTGTGTGTGTTGCAGGGGGGTAAAAACATAAAACTTAACATTTTAACTGTTTTAAGTGTAAGTTCAGTGTTAGTATTAAGTTAGTGTTAAGTATATTCACAATGCTGTGAAACAGATCTCCAGAATTTATTTGCCTGGCAAAACTGAAACTAAAAATATGAATGATACCCTAAAAATTTGTATGTCATCCCTGTACAAGGGCCATGTTAATTTCTGCATTGTTTCAGTTTTAGTATATGTGCTGCCAAAGCAACCACAAGTATCTTTATTCTTTCTCTTATTATTTTTCTTATTTTTTTTCAATGACTATGGAGGTCTGATTTTCCAGTTTGCCTTGTGAACAGTGGAGTCCATGAATGTATTTGCTGAGTCTTATGGGCATTTAAATTTTTTCTTTTTATGACAGTCTTAACAAATTAACAAAATTTTTTCTGGATCTTATGTATAGTCACTTTGTAAAGCCATAGGATTTTGGTGCCTGCCTTTGTATTTGTGTTTCAGACTGTATTGGTGACAAATTGTACTATTTTCTCATGAACTAATAAGAAAATAGCAGCAATGAATTTAGTGTATTAGTGCCAAGTGAAGGCCAAATTATCTTCATTACATGAACATTTCACAATAATAGAAATAGATAATATAATGGGCTTATACCATCCTCATGTTGAAAGTGGCCATTTTATATCTTTAAAGTAATGTTATTCCTATCAGATTAATGTTCACTTGAAATTTATGTTTAAATTTTATTTAAACTGGTACATTTTCTTTGGTTTTATGTTGTATATGGTTAGAGAGCTTCATGTTTAGATAAGAGTTAAAATAAATTCACATGGGAAGTTGAGGGAAGCAATCTGTCAGCAAACTATTACTAAATTTTACAAAACATCAACCAGACATTAAGACTAAAGATGGAAACATACGTTTTGTAATTTAGAAGACATTTATTGGACCTCCCTGCTTGTAGTTTCACAACAGAATGTGAAAGCATAGCAAACCGTATTTTTTCCATTTGTCTAAGTCTGTACTATCTGTATTTTTCTATATTTCCTAAAGGAAGAAGACCTACAAGAGATGGAAAATTTAGCCCAAAGAATGGAAACTCAGTTTGGTCAATTTTTTGATCATGTGATTGTGAATGACAGCTTGCAAGATGCATGTGCCCAGTTGTTGTCTGCCATACAGAAGGCTCAGGAGGAGCCTCAGTGGGTACCAGCAACATGGATTTCCTCAGATACTGAGTCTTAATGAGACTTCTCATTGGATGCTAGAGTTTTAACACTGTACCCTTGTCACAGCCATCTCCAGCTGCAATCTAAAATGGCAGTATTTGACCCATTATGATGTGTACAACTTTAAAAGTGAAGCAGTTTATTAATCTTATTTGAAAAAAAATTTATTGTATGGTTATGTAGTTACCTACAGTATTTGGCTATTAATTTTTTTTCCTTTACCTCATGTGAAGCTGTGGTAGAAATACAAATAATGTTAAGACACTGAGTATAAAACTTTTGCAGATTTCACATGATCTTTTAAAATTCAAATAAAGAACTTTCCCAAATAAAATTAGCAATATATAATTTTAGAAATTGTATTCTACTCTATGAAATGTGTTTTACGAAAACATCTTTTACAAAAAGTGCTTACTTGACTAACTCAGCAAGAAAGGTTTAATATACATATTTTTACACCTAACATCAAAACCTACAAAAAACTGCACTGCCTTCATTATTTACAAATCAGGCTACAAGGAAAAAATTATTCTCATCAGAGATGTGACAAACACTAATTTTCCTTACAGCCACTATCTACATGCATGCCTAAATTAGAAAAAGACAATGGATTAGTCCTAGAGACCTATATATAGAAAATCACAAGATTGAAACCGTGTCTCAGAGTTGAAGAAACCAGGGACTAACAGAAATTCTTGAGCATGCAGGATGGCAGATAAAAAACAACTTGCTAAAATGCTGAAACTTCTTCCATTGTGAGATTAAAAACCCAAACAAAAAAACTGGCTGAAATTGGTTAGTACTAACACAAATGGCTACCTGGAGTCTGTACAAAATGAGCTTGTTGGCGTCACAGCTCGAATCTACCCCCATGTTTCATACTGACTTCCTCCAAATTTGCACATGCAACCCATAAAGGGACATGAAATAACTGTGAACACCAGAGGATTTTCCAGACCGCTTATTTCCTTCTACCAATCACCTACTAATCCCAGAATCCACTCCCTAAACCTTTTCTAATAAAAATACTGTCTTAAAGCCAGCACAGGGAGACAGATTAGAGCTATACTCCTGTCTCCTTGTTAGTTAATTCACAATAAAAACTTTTCTCAAAAAACCAGTGCCATAATACTGGCTTCTGTGTGTACAGGGCAACAAGACTCTGTTTGGCAGCAAGATTAGGATGCCATTACAAAGTCTTGTTTCCCTTTCTTCCCCCAGGATTTGAGATTTCCAGGTGCTTTTCCTGTCCCTGTATATGTTCATCTTCTGCATCATTCTCTTCTCCTTATTTACAACATTATTCCATCTTTCCCATCTCTTTAACTGTAAAACAGAATGCACAATTCAAAATATTTGTAGAGAAATGCAAATCAAAGCCACATTGAGATACCATTTCACGCGTTAGAATGGCAATCATTAAAAAATCAGGAGACAACAGATGCTGGAGAGGATGTGGAGAAATAGGAACATTTTTACACTGTCGATGGGAGTGTAAATTAGTTCAAGCATTGTGGAAGACAGTGTGGTGATTCCTCAAGGATCTGGAAATAGAAATACCTTTTTTTTTTTTTTTTTTTTTTGAGACGGAATTTCGCTCTTGTTACCCAGGCTGGAGTGCAATGGCGCGATCTCGGCTCACCGCAACCTCCACCTCCTGGGTTCAGGCAATTCTCCTGCCTCAGCCTCCTGAGTAGCTGGGATTACAGGCACGTGCCACCATGCCCAGCTAATTTTTTGTATTTTTAGTAGAGACGGGGTTTCACCATGTTGACCAGGATGGTCTCGATCTCTTGACCTCGTGATCCACCCGCCTCGGCCTCCCAAAGTGTAGAAATACCATTTGACCCAGCAATCCCATTACTGGGTATATAACCAAAGGATTATAAAACATTCGACTATAAAGACACATGCACACGTATGTTTATTGCAGCACTGTTCACAATAGCAAAGACTTGAAACCAACCCAAATGCCCAACAAAGATAGACTGGATAAAAAAATGTGGTACATATACACCATGGAATACTATGCAGCCATAAAAAAGGATGAGTTCATGTCCCTTGCAGGGACATTAAATTGGAAACCATCATTCTCAGCAAACTGACACAAGAACAGAAAACCAAACACCACATATTCTCACTCATAAGTGGGTGTTGAACAATGAGAACACATGGACACAGGGAGGCGAACATCACACACTGGGGCCTGTTGTGGGGCGGGGGGTTAGGTGAGGGATAGCAGGGGGTGGGGGGATTGGGGAGGGCTAACGTTAGGAGAAATACCTAAGGCAGGTGGGGATGGGTGCAGCAAACCACCATGGCACGTGTATACCTATGTAACAAACCTGCACGATCTGTACATGTACCCCAGAACTTAAAAGTATAATAAAAAAGATTTGTATTTGTCTGCTAAAGTTATGTTAAAAAAAAACAAAAACAAAACAAAACAACAAAAAAAACAAACCAACACCCAACCAAACAAAACGATGCAAATTAAGTCGTTTGTAGTGATATTTATGTGATGTCGGATTTGATTTTAAGGTTGAGAACAAGTTTTTTCCAAATTTTATTTACACGGTTGTGGGATGAAGGGTAAGCAATTGGAGGAAATGTGAGAATTGCCTGTATTAATACACATCCGCACACCCAGGCCCGTAAAGACTTGTTGGTCCTGGAGAGTAAACGCGTTCGTGTGTAACCCAGCGGGCGGGGATCTGGCTCAGGGGGCGGTGGCCTCGCCAAGCGCCAAGAAGCCCGGCTTCCCGCAGGTCGCCGCGTCGCGGAGAGCAGGGCTTGGACCGCCGGCGGTTGCGCAGGGAGAGCCCCGCGGGGAGAACACAATGAGGGCTGACTCGGGGCCTCGGCTGGAGGAGGGCCACAGGGTGAGCGGCGAGGGGCGCGTGGGCCTCGAGAGGTGGAGGATCAGCCGCTACCCAGGCAGGGGGAATGGGAGGGCGGCGCCAGCGAGCTGGGGATCACTAGCGGAGGGCCTTGTTCGTGGAGTGCGCGCATCCGCCCCTCCAGGAGTGGGACGGGGACCCAGGCGAGGTCGGGACCCGAACTCTCGGAGTCGGAGAGGGGCCTGCCATGACGTTTCCGGGGACCTGAGCCCGCGTTGCCACAACACTTCACTTCTCTGCGGCCCGGGGTCCGGCGGGTTCCGGGGCTTCCAGCTGGGCCTCTCCTAAACTCCTCGGAGGAGAGGGCTGTAGCTGCCCAGAAGAGAGATCGCTGTTTGCCTGCGGAGTCCTTTAACCAAGGTCTTCTCTCACTCCCGGCTCCCCGCAAACAAATCACGGCGACTACTTAGGAAACCACGGGAAAACCGTGATTGGAGCGCTCCGGCCGCCGGATCTCTGCTCCTGGGCACATCACCCCCGACTTAGAGGTCCCCCTTTCGGCAGGGCTAGTTTGGGACCGCCAGTCCACGTCCCAGCGCGCCTCTCACCCCGACGTCACCCCGGGGGGCTGCGCGCGGGGAATTAGCCCAGCGGCGCGGCCCGATGACGCATTGCGCCTGCGCGCGCGGCCGAGCGGAGACGGCTGGGGGGCCCTGCGCCTGGGGGCCGGCGGGGGCTGGCTAAACGCAGAATGGGGAAGAAGCCTGTGGTAAGCGAGCCTTAGCTAGTTTTAGCTGCTAGGATTTTAGTCTTCAGTTGAGTCGTCCTACTTTTGAGGATTAAAGGTTGGGTTTCTGGGTGGGTGGAACGTCATTTTTGCGGGACTTTTGAAATCAGTGACGTGAACGGATTCCTTAGGTCGGTCGCGCGTTTGGTAGCATCTTTAGAACAATAGCGCGTTCCCGTGACTGTCATTCTTTTCCAGATGTAATTTTGACTGCCGGATGGTATTACGGCAGCTTGCCTCGTCCTAATCTTGTAGTATCTGCATTAACCTGCTCTAACGAATGGATTGCTAAATGAGACAAACTACAAGAGTGTCTGAAATTTAACTATTTTGAATAAATGTCTTTTGCAAGCAACATGAGATACTTGGAACATTAAATAGGCTTCTAGGCATTTCTGTTAGTGTTTGATTCTGAAAACACTTCTCAACACTAATCCTCTCTGAACTTCACATTTCTTACTCATGTAAATGAGCATTTAGAAGGGTTTCCCCCATCATTCTTTCTGCCCTAAAACTGTTTCTTTCCAGTATTTTCAAGTGGCCTTTTAAAAAATTGTGTTACATTATATATTATATATTTTTAACATTGTTTCCGATACTCAACCACTAGAATGTAAGTTCCATAAAAGCAGGATTCGCTCTGTTTTGTTCATTAGTGTATCCCCAATGCTTGGAAAAGAGCCTGGCCTAGAGATAGAAAGGAATGTAGGAAGGAAAGAATTTTATATGAAATTTAGAATGGCAGAACAAATTTTAAATTGCCCATGTTTTTCATCAGTACCTCTCAAGTATCACTGATGAACAGGATTATCAAGAGATTTTGAAGATCCTATTTCTGATCCATTATATTTTTCTGTCATGTCTGAACAACAGACTTGAAAGAATAGCTTTGGCTGGGCACAGTGGCTCACTCCTATAATCCCAGCACTTTGGGAGGCTGAGTTGGGCGGATTACCTGAGGTCAGGAGTTCAAGACCAGCCTGGTTAACATGGTGAAACCTCATCACTACTAAAAATACAAAAATTAGCCAGGCATGGTGGCCGGTGCCTATAATCCCAGATACTTGGAGAGGAGAATTGCCTGAACCCAGGAGGCGGAGGTTGCAATGAGTCAAGATCGTGCCAGTGCCCTCCAGCATGGGCAACAAAGCAGGAATTCATCTCAAAAAGAAAAAAAATAAAAAAGAATAGCTTTATGGTATTTGGGATACGTGGAGTAAAGATTCTCTAAGGCTTTTACTTACAAGCAAATTTCATTTTCTTTCCTCCCACAGCGTCCTCCACGAGCCCTTCCACCTGTGCCAAGGTACAAATTATATAGTAATTTCATCATTGAGCTTTAACAATGGAACATGAAGACAGTGGAAAAATTGACTAGTACCATGGCAA